AAAAAGTAAAAGATCTAATAGGCTAGTACTAGGCTTTATAGTATTATAGTATATTTAAAAAAAATAGCTAGGATCCTAGGTATAGATCTTTATTATTAAGTATATAGCTACTAATAAAAGGTCCTTATACCTACTAGTTATATATAAAAGTAAATTAGTCTAGGCCTAGTAGTTTTTATTTAACTTATTTAAATATAAAAGATAGTACTTTATATATATAAATAATAGCTAGATAACTAAGAAGACTACCTTTAAGTAGCTAAAGAAAGTCTTTATTTTAGGCACCTAGATAAAGGAGGCTAAACTACTAATTCTAGATAAGTATTATAGCTATATATTAATAGACTTTATATAAGAATACTTCTAGAACTAGATATATTTACTATATTTACTACTATACTTTTTTATTATCCTTTAGCTACTAAATATATTAGTCTTTAGCCTATTAAAGTATACTTATTAAAGGGAGGTTAAATATTTAAATAACTAGGTTAATAATTTAACTATTACTAATAAAAGGGTATTTTTAGCCTATTATATAAAGGCTAAAAATATAGCTATAATAGTCTAGAATATTAGAAGTAGCTAAAAGTTAGCTAGACTATAGCTAATATATATATAGTAGCCTTTATTTAACCTTATAGTTACTAAGGACTAATAAACTAGCTAGACTAGTTAGCCTAGTAGCTAATAATAAAATAAAACTATATTTATTATCCTATAGTTAACCTTTTATTAGTTTACTAAATTATAATATTTATTATACTAGTTAAACTAGTTAGTAAAAAATAAGTTAAATACTTATATTATTTATTACTTATTTAAAAAGATATAAAAAAAGTATAATAAGTAAGTATTTAGAAATATATTTCTAAAGTAAAAGGTCTACTAGCTAAAAGGTAAGTTAGATAACCTATAGTAACACAAGAGGAAAAAGGTCCCCTTATTACCTAATAGTACCTTTACTACTATATATAATATCTAGTAGGCGTAAACCCTGGATATTAGTAATATAGATAGTCTAGATAAATCTAGCGCATCTGAATTACCTAGCGAGGCCAGAAGTTGTATATGGGTAGGCGGCAGAGGTGGTAAAATAAGTGGTGATAGTGGTGGTGATGGTGGTGGTGATGATGGGCCGGATGTGGGGGGTAGCCGGAAGTAGGGTAGTTGAGTTAGTTCACATACAGGAAACCGGCGATTCCTTCTATTATATTCCCGGCTCGGAACTAACAGTTGATGAGGCCATGGTCCGTTTTACCGGCCGGTCTCTGGAGGTAACAACTATACCGACGAAACCAATCCCAACCGGCTGTAAGATCTGAATACTTGCCCAATCGGGCTACTGTCTCCGATGGCTATAGCACGTACACAGGAAGGGCCCTTACGGGCTAGTCCCGCAGGCTCTGCCGGCACCCGGTAACAGAGTCGGAAAGCAAACCCTTACGCCAACGCAACGAGTTGTTACAACACTAGTTGCCTTACTTCCAGCCACTATATATCATATATTTCTCAATAATCTATTTGTTTCTATACGGCTCTTCAGGGCTCTTCAGAAGCAGCAAATCGGAGCCTCCGGTACAAAAGACTATTCTTAAGTATATCTAAGTTTATCTTGTATATAAGTCTATAACTCTATTAGTATATTACAAAGTAATAGCCCTCTGTTAGTTCTTTACTATAAAGTAACCTTAACTAGTTAGTCCTTTACCTAGAGCACTTACTACTTGTTAGTCCTTCTTATTATTATATAACTTGTACTAGTTATAGTTCTTCCTTCTAGGGAGTTATTTATATAATAATGCTGGTTGTCCTGCTAGTACAAAGGCTGTGCTGCCTACGCTTCTGCTTAGTGGGGCTAACGTTGCCTGTAGCTTGTTGGGTTATAAGAATCCATTGGAATTATGCTAACTATCTACTGCTTAGGTTTCTCACAAGTTCTGTTAATTTATGTCTTTTTCAGAGGTCTTTTGTTGCCATCTCTGGCCCAGTGTTTGCCAGTTTGGCCTTGCTACCCTAAATTTTCATCCTTGGACTCAAAACCCGGAGTACAAAGTGGCTGATAAAGATCCGAGTTTCTTAAACCTCTGGAAAGCCCCGAGAAAACGGCAACAACCCAGGAAAGGCTGGGGCTCTGGATTGGTCACCAGGCTAGATGTAGTGGTGGGTGATCCCAGACCAGATCACACGCAGGCAGCCTCACGATTGAAAGATCATAGAGTCTTGAACTTCTTAGTGGCTATCAATGTGGATTGATATGTATCTGGCTGCCCGGATGTCCTGGTGCGTCGCTTTGGCCCTGCTGGAGGACAGCAATTATTAATGCGAGAAGTTGGGATGAACACCATCCCGGCTACAGGGATAACGTGGCCGTCGCGTAATTAATTGAATTTAACCAATCGCATCTCAATTTTGCCGGCTCTCTATGCCGGCTGAGTTGACAACCCGAGCCCATCTCCAAGGACTTCGCCCTTTTGCCTTTAACCATCATCCTCTGCTAGGAACCCCGCATACTGGACCGTAAACTATGACGCTAATCAGACGCGGGGAGTCCGGGTACCTCTATATATGGTGTGAATATCTAAGTCAGTATCAGCCTTGAAGTTTGAATTCTAGCTCACGATTGACCCCAAGATGTGAAACACAGGACGCTCGACACTTGTACAGCGTTTTTCCCACATTGTTCGCCTAGTCGAGTGTTCGGCTAAGAAACCGAACAGTCTTGTTTGAGGATCCCGCTTTTTGCTTTTCCATCTTGAGATGGCCTCACACAGCCCAGGGCTGCCCTGCTAGATCAGAAGCTATTGTGAGATAAAGTCGCAACATGCAGGCCATTGACCAATTACGCAGCCATCTCATCCAAGCCTCGTACAGTTTCTGCCCAAAGAGCCGGAAAAGTGTTGGCTTAGTTGGCTCAGTCTGTGTTATTGCCGTAGCAAAGAGAAGATTCGGCGGCTGCCACCGCAACTAACATATAAACATGTAGCGTCGCCTTCCCCATCCCATCTCCAAGCGGTTTATCCAGCCATCTTATCTTGCTCCAGGCTAGCGTAACATCTGTGCCGAAATTACTGCCTTCTATCGTTTGCAGTGGTTCCCAAGCCATTCTGCCAATATGGTTCCTTCGCCCGTCGCCGCGCTAGGCTTCCTTAGCGCCCTGCAGGGCAGTGCCAATATTGTCGAGCGACAGACAAAGGCCTGCGCAACGGGTGTGCACATTATTGTTTGCCGGGCCAGTACCGAGAAACCAGGGACAGGAGTCATTGGCGAGATCGCGACCAACATCCAAGGACAGATCCCCGGATCCGACATTGAGGCGGTGGACTACCCAGCCGAACTAAACCCTTACAACCCATCCGAGGAGGCCGGCGTCAAGGCCATGACGAAACTGGTGCAGGACTATGCGGCGAGATGCCCCGATACAAAGATGGTTCTGATGGGATATTCGCAGGTAAGTTAATGAACTTCTAATCCAACCCCCCAATGGATCAAAACCTGACATATTACCCTGTAGGGAGCACAGGTTACTGGCGATGTTATGTGTGGAACAAGTGAAAGCGGCTTTACTGCCACGCAACCGCAATCGGCAGAGGTTGCTGCCAAGGGTATATTCATCGTTACTTAGAGCGCCTGGCTGTCGTGGCTAAAAACTTTTACAGTCGCTGCCGTCCTGCTCATGGGAGATCCGAGTCACGTCACTGGACAGCCCTACAACCAAGGAACTAGCCAAAATAACGGTGTAAGCTATACTACCAATGCCCTTTCTGTATACCAAGAACCGACCTTGACCTTGAAAAAACAGCTCTTCCCGAGAACGCGAACCGCCGGCTGCAATGCTGTTGCTAACAAGATGGTGTCCTTTTGTAATACTGGGGACCCGTTTTGCGACGGTGGCCGCAACTTGCAGGTCCACCTCAGCTACGTCCAAACGAACGGCGACGCGGCAAATCAATTCATCTTGTCCAAATTGAAAGCAGCCCGCTCATGACTGGGAAGAGGTTGAGAGGGGCAGACTGGCTTCCGATGCTCCATGCCCATATGCTGGGGTTTATTCCAGCCGTAGTGTCGGAAGCATCATTCGTCGTCGCCATGCTTCTGACCGGAACATCAATCGATATACACAAAAGAAAGATAGCAGACAGGAGGACCTATCTATCAAAGTTCAATAAAGGTGGAACTACTTGGGATAAATGGTACGGTATACGTGATTCCGATGAAAGAGGCTGCATTCTGGTCCTATCTCGTGAATCACTGGCTGAAATATGCACCATCCTGGAGTGCTTAGGAACGTACGAGTCATAGGCAGTCAGTTGGAATATTCCAATTTTTGCCGGCACAAAACCGAGTCTTTCCAACGCCTATGAAATCATGGAGGAGTGAGTTCCCCTTCGGCCAATAACTATTCGGAATTGAGAACATGGCAGGAGGTATATTCAGTCTGCTACCTCACCAACCTGGCATTACCCACGCAATGGCGCTTTGTTCTAAGGGTGCCGCATTCAAATCTCTCTTAAGGCTTACCCCTTTGAGTTGACATGGCCGTTCAGCTTTATTCAATCTTTCCGCCCTGCACTGCATCTCTTCACTTCGCTCTAGCGCTACTGCCCAAGAGCTCCCACAGCCAATTTGCATTTTCTAATAAGAATCGGCTACCAGAAGGACTGTGTCAGTTATCAGAAGTTCTCTACGTATGAAAAGATCGGAATATAGGCCAGGTCAAAGGTGCTGCGTATAAGGTTCTTGCGTTTCGTGACATACTATAAATAGTGCGTGAACTGCACTAGACTGCTTATAGTTGAGAGCGACTACTCTATACTAACATATAACACACTGGTCCTATAATATTATAGAAGGTGCATAGCCATTTCATATTTAGTATATATGTAGCAAGATGAAACTAGTGGATAGGCAGTAGGGGTAACGCATGACTAGCCAACCAAAGTGCATGTATAAATAAGTACAGTCTCCCTCACAAAGGTGCTAGCTGTCAGCTCATCTTCATTCTCTTCACCCTGATACCGGTCATATTTGATACATTATTATTACTCCTTGAATACTGCCACGATGCACGCCTTAACCATCTTTTTTGCCTCTCTGTCTCTTCTGGCCGGCCTGGCTGCCACTCAAGGCATTCCTGGTGGAGACCTTTGCTGTGGTAACCCAATAGACGATCCCAATAAATCCTGCCCCGGAACTACTTTTTGCGTAAGCTCCTGTGTCCTCTTGTGAACCTAATATGGGCAACTAAAGAATATCTTGTAGTGCGACACCGGTAGCAATGCTAATATAGGGCGCGGGTGTGACGACAATAAAGACTTCCCAGTCGGACGTTCTTTCTCAGGTTTTGGTGTCGGTAGCTGTAAATCTGGTGGCTCGACCGGCACTGTTGTCTGCGGCTAAGAGCGTGTGTGTCTACGCTACAATAAACCAACTTTGATAGCTGGGGGACCAGCGGGGCTGGTCCGATGTCGTTTGTCTGATGATCCACCACGGCCACCCTCTTCCATACCCACGATTTACAAGCCATATTATCTTCCACAACAATAGCAACAATTGAACCACCTTGTTCAAGCCTATACCATTGAGTTTTGTTATACACAGAAAAAAAAAAGCCTTAACTCGATATGAGTGATGGTACCAAAAGAGTGATCTTGCTATGTGTGCTAAGTGAATACATACGCCTCACCTCAGCCTCACCCAGGATTGTAGAGGGTAAGCGGAATCGGCGAGACTCACCCGGACCGCCCTATCAGCTAAAGAATGACGACTTGAAGAGGCTCCGAACGCATGTTTCACGCAATGGCTCATCAAAGGCCATTTGTTGCACGTTCACCTATGTGACGATGTTTCCCTCCAGATTTCTGAGAGGAAGAATCATATCAGAACCTTGGGCGCGAAGATTTTGCAGATTTCTTTTTCCCGTCGGTGTCCCGGCAACATCGACCCATATCAAGGTTCCAAATGTCCTGGGTGAGTGAACTTTATTTTAGGGCTCATGTAAGATCGCGGCCGATGCAGGTCCGAACGGTGCCCCACACGCCTAATCCAGCGTCATGGACTCGAATAACAGGCATGTTAAGAAACGATGAGAACGGTGCTTGCTGTAAGGCGACGGGCTCAATACCATTGCCGGATGGGGTTCTTCCTCATTTGACCAATTCGTGATCCTGTAGATACAATTAATGGGAAAACAGTCGACTTCCGTCATCCAGCCGCTCATCGGAAGCCCGAAGCGGGATCACACATGGTTTATCACACCAATGGTTCTTCAATAGGAACTTTTGTCAAACCCAAAAATCATACATTTCTGTCATAAAATCCATCATCTGTTGATCATGTTGAATCCCTGCTTGCTGCTAATTGTCTCCATGCTGCATCAAATTGCTCTGCATTCTTGATTGCATGTCGCTGGCCTTCTGCAGCTCCCAGTGAGTTTTTCGGCTATAATGATGGATATTCCGCGAATGTCTTGAGGGCTGCAATTGTCATGCCGAAAGACACCGTGTTAAGCTTCAGTTCGACCAATATTCTCCGGGAGCCAGTGTTGGCCTCCTGACCTTCGGCAAAACAAAGTTGATAGTCGTCCCGGGATACCTACATCATTCGCTTGGTGTCACGCGCTGCCTTTTTTTTTTTTTTTTTTTTTTTTTCAAGATTCAGATAGTCTCCACAGCCTTGTTGGGTCATTATACTGCTGTGTCTTGTGGTATCCGGGATCTATTGGCAGTTCCAACTTTGAGAAGGTTCAATAGGCCCAATGTGGCGTTCTCTTGACCCTCACCTCAGTATCAACATGGCTGTTAGACGGTTATTCTGACCCGGTATCCTTAAAGTCAATCATCTCGACCATCATGCTGCTTTCTACGGTTCTCATGAGGCGGCACCTCTATGGTCTCCTGAACACCTATAAATTCTTTTCCCCGGGCACCCCTCCTTCTTTTCTTCTTCTCTTTCCCCCCCATCGAGCTTTGCATTCAGGTACGTTGACAATCTCCTTGCCTCAAACACCAGAACAAACAAACAATTGCGACCAACACACACATAATGTCTTTCTCTACTCCTTACTCTTACTCTCCCTTCTCTTACGAGATGGAGCTTGACGATCCTGTCGCCTATTCTCTCTCCTTCTCTTCCCTCTCCATCTCTCCACCTCAGACCCTCCCCTCTGAGATGGATCTAGATGAGGAGCCCTCTTCTTTCTTTTCTTCTCAGGCTTTTCAAAACCCTTTTATCAGTGCGAAGTGTGGCTCCCACCACCCTTCTTGCTCTGATGGCCGTCCTAAGAACCCGTTCGCTGGAGAGTCTTCTCAAAAGCGTCAGCGTTCTAAGAACAGCAAGGCCAAGACCGAGACCAAGGCCTTACCCCATCGCGGTGGTGAGAAGAAGGTTGGCAAGGCTGAAAACCAGAAGCAACAGCTGAAGGGCGCGGAGAAGCCGAAGCCGAAGGGTCAGCAGCGCAAGCAGCAGCCCAGACAGCCTAAGCAGAACCGTGGCCCGCAGAGAGCTGAAGCCAAGGAAAAGAAGCCTGTCAATCCGTTTCTCGTTCCTCTCGCTTCGGTCAAGGGCCAAGGTCAACGTCGCTAACTTCTGTATGAGTTCTCTTTCGGGAGAATTCCTCATGAAAAAACCAACATACCCCCCCCCCCCCCCCCCAAAAAAAAACCCATGAAAAGCCTGAAAAGAGAAAAAAAAAAAAAACCACTCCTCCTCCTCTCCTCCTTTTGTTTTGGTTACAATTGTTTGTTCTGGCTGAGGCAAGGGATTTCAACTGCCACATCCTGATGCAGGCGAGTTCCCCGACTTCAGTCCCGCGTGCTGTAAACGCTTAACATCCATACCTCTTTCTCCCCGGCCCCGGCGAGCCATGATCGCCTTTCTCCCCACCTCTTCCTCCCCGGCCCCGGCGAGCCATGATCGTCTTTCTCCCCACCTCTTCCTCCCCGGCCCCGGCGAGCCATGATCGTCTTTCTCCCCACCTCTTCCTCCCCGGCCCCGGCGAGCCATGATCGCCTTTCTCCCCACCTCTTTCCGCTATGGCCCCGGTGAGCCTATCACTATTTCTTTGGGCAATGAAGTCGGACTCCTAACCTCCCCGTGGTATTGCCTGGGAACTTCCTTTCCTTCATTGGATCGGATGCTAAATTGGAGACGCGAACAAGTATTGATGGGTATAGATGCTCTAAACCCCCATAAGTGGTCTAGTGCAGTTCATCCGACACATATGTAATATCACGGTACGTAAAACCCCATACGGGCACCTCTGACCTGTGCCGGATCTCGATGTCTTGATACGATATAGAATGACCTGATAACGCAGAGCAACAACCAACTCTGACTTCACTTCAACCACGGCGCAAACGACCTTTGGGCGCCGGAACGTCGGCAGCAACTTTGGCGCTGTCGAATCAGGTTGCGCGGGTTCGCAGGCAAGCCACACACCAAGGTCGCGATGGCTTCGTCGCGATGATGGCATTATTGAACCTATCACCAAGGCCGCAATGATTGCAGGCCACACAATGACTCTGCCGCCACCAAGGTAGTCAAAAGCCTTGTGCCTTAAGTCACAGACAGTACCAGAGATAGCTTCACTCGCCAGCAACCTTGCTAGCCGTAGCCAGGCATACAAAAGGCAGAAGCTAGGCTTGGTCTCTTCTTCCCTCCTTCCATCTCGTCCATATCCAAACACACACAACAATGCCCTATTATACCGTTTAGAACCCCTAGGGCATTACCCAGCCAGGAGACCACAATGCGCCAAGCACAGCCTGTAGGGATCCTACTGTGACTAGCGCTTGGCCTCATAGGGGTCTAATAAAGACACCCTTTTCCATGGCCTTCCTCTGGCCATGAAGTTTAACGTGGCCATCTTTGGCCTAGAGCTGCTGGCAAAAGACTCCAGCCGAGCTGTGAGGAAGCAGATTGCCAAGAAGAAGGCCGAGCTCACAAGGAACCCAGCGGAGCTTCGAGGAGAGACTGTACGTTGGAGGCAGGAGTACTTGAGCAGCGTCATGGAGGCTGCAGCGGAGGCCATTTATGGCAAAAATGACCCATGGGGCACTAGGTGTTAGGTGAGTTGAGCTGCAATGATGCTCAGGACATTCGCTGACGGCGGCAGTGCTGATCGGTCTGGCCAGATCGGGGCGACGTGGAGGTCTCGGAGGACGGCGGCGGTGGCGGCGACGGCCTGGTTGACGGCGGCGAAGGGGTCGAATTGCGGCGTTTGGTGGATTGCCCAAGGGCAAGTTCATCTAGGCTGGTTAGGTGTAAAAGGGGAAAAGTCTTTTACTCGATAATACCCAAAGTGCGATATTACACCCTTGCTTTCGGATTCCAACTTGCTGAAGAACCATTTGTAATTCACGTGACCAAAAGTGCCCATTGACTGCTGGTGAAGTGACAAAAAGCATTGATCCAACGTTGCCTAGAGGCTGTCGAATTATTTGAAGTTGCGTTACGGCGGGAGGTGTTGTCCGCTCATGAATTGGCAGGCCGGCCGGCCTCCGAAGTGAAAGTCGCCATTGGCAGAAGCTCTACACACGCACAATACAAGGCCACAGGCCCCGCGAACAAGTATTAATGTTTGATTCTACCTTTATTCAACGCCTTTGTTCCATGTTTTCTTTCAATGTTCTATCCTCTTGCTTTATTGCTCATGATCCCTCTTTATTACTTGTGGTCCCTTCTTATCTCTGAGCCTTCATGTCACATCTTTGGTCTCATTTCCAGCCCTGATCAACAATCAATTCTCTGCATGGCTCCCATATTCCAAAGTTTATACACAATGGTCGTTCTTGGTGGTGATGTCTTCAAGCCCGTAGATTGCTACAATTGCCAAAAGAAAATTTGAGACGGAGGTCAAAATTCGTGAATCAGTTCAACATCTGCTCGCCATGGATTGAAGCGACAAAACCATGAATAGATTAACCACTAGCCAAACTAGATTAACAGCGCCTGTGAACCATGCCGCTACTCTTACAAAACACCAGATGTTCGCCTTCTTCCAGCTTGGTCATGCATCGTTCGTTCGTTGGCTACATGTACCGTCAATCGCCCGGGAAAAGCATCATCCTCTCTCAAGGTCCCGAAACCCATTAAAAAAAAAAAAAAAAACCCTCATTAAGCATCAAATTTCGCTCAAACAGTGCTCATGTGGTGGCAGCAGCAAGTCCACTCACCGCCGGGCTCCTGCTTCCAAACACTGTTGCAGATGCCCTCGGTCGCGACCAGCTTGTTGCCCTTCTGGCGCCAGGCGGTGACGCGGTAGACGAGGCTGGAGCTCATGACGTCGATTTCGACGAACTCGGGGTCATCGTGCATCTTGTAGGCCGTCCAGGGCTCCCAGTCCTCGTCGAGGAACTCTTGTAGGGTCGGCTTGGATTTCGGAGAGTAGGGCTTGTAGCCGGGGTGGGCGAGAACAGCCTCCTTGTCGAGGTACTTCTTGAGGTGCTTGGGCTTGGAGTCGCACATGGCGCGCCAGAGCAGGGTCTCGGCCTCAAGTGTGTCCTCCTTGTTGCGGGAGTAGATAGTTCCCGATCCCGAGTTTTCTTCGTCGCCCATTTTTGGCTTTTTTTTTGCAAGATCGGTTCGCTTGAGTTTGGTAAAGTTGGTAACTGCAGGTCCCCAGCAGGAGATATGTCGTTTAGTCGCCGAAATCTGATCGTGAAGCTAGAGCGTTTGATATTGGTATCGCACTCCGCCGGCGCATCAGGGGCGGCGGGAGAGCTCTTATGATGTCGCCCAGAGCTATGGCCTCATGCGCCCCGGGGGGGCATGCATTTCGTCCAGAAACAGGATATCCTGGCCTGTCTGGTGCCTGTGATTGGATGGCGGGCAAAATGCTTCGGCGTTCGTGGCCTTGACGTCACACTCAGCGATTAACAGCGGAGGAGAGGGGCCAGCGGCTCATTGCGGGGGATGCGAAGGACAGGGGTTGGAAACAGGTTACTTCATTGTCAGTGGGAAGGGCCTCGAGGTCTAGACTAGTCCATAACCTTTTCCTTCGTTCTTGTCAAGTTAAAGGTCCGAGGTTCTGATGTAACGCGTGCATTGACATGTCCCACATAGGGACAGACTGTCACCCGGCCAAGTACCTTACTCATGGGTTTCGCATTAAATAAGCATCTCGTTAGCGTTGGTTGTAGCGGAATTGGCCTTACGTAGTTATTTCAACATTCTAACGGATTTTAACTCTGTAGACAGTAGACTATACCCCTCCTTTAAAATCAAAGTTACTGTGCATTGGTAGGGGTCTAAGGTTACAGACAAAATGTTACAGAGCTAAACACTAAAGTTACTTGTTCCACGTTCGATATATAAGCATGCTTGACACAGAGAAATTCACTAGTATCATCACTGCTGCGCATGCTTGCGGCTTCGACCGAGACACAAAATGGCTCACTTTTCAGTTCTGGGAATCGCCCTCGCCCTATTACCAATCAATGCAGCTTATAGCTCTGGAGGCTGTTGGAAAACCCTGGAGCCTATTCCCGTCGCCCCTCGCCAGGAACATTCAGTTGTGGGTCTATCAGACAGTAAACTTGCCATTCTCGGAGGTATAACTTCATCCGTTGCCGATTTCAACACGACTTCGCTATTTCAAATCTACGACATCCCGTCAAACACTTGGACTACAGCCGCGGATGCGCCTGTTCGCGTTAATCATCCCAATGTCGCTGCTGTTGATGGCAAAGTTTATCTCCTAGGCGGGCTTTCACCCTCTACTGATGGTGCCTGGACGGCCTTTCCGGAGTCTTGGATGTATGATCCCATCACCAATGTATGGAAAGAGATTTCTCCCATGCCGCCGGGCCAAGCGAGAGGCAGCGCAACCATGGGTGTCAACGGCAAGAAGATTTACCTAGCAGGGGGCGTTACGAAATTAGTACCGGCTATAGATGGGGAGCAGGATACCGTCGGTTTCGTCACCGCTTTTGATACTGAGAGTCTGTCTTGGTACACCTTGCCGTCAGCCGCAAAAGATCTTCCTAATGGCAGAGATCACGCCGGGGGCTCTGTTTTTGATGACAAATTCTACGTCATTGGTGGCCGCGAAAATGGTCAGCACAATCTTAAAGACACAGTCTTTGTGCTTGACTTGAATAATCTGGAAGGCGGGTGGTGCACTAAGGACAAAAGAATGCCTACAGCCCGCGCTGGCATCGTTACTGGCACTGTTAACGGCAAGGTATATGTTTTTGGCGGTGAAGGAAATCCTGCAGCAGGATCGAATGGTGTTTTTAATCAGACGGAGGTCTTTGACACAAAAAAGGAGAGCTGGGAGCAGCTTGCACCCATGCATCTTCCTCGACATGGAGGTGGAGCCGTTGCGATTGGAAGTGGGATCTATGTACCAGGGGGAGGGTTACAGGAAGGAGGAAGGCCTGATAGTACCTTGGACGTGTTCCAGCCAACGGATTCATTTCTCTAGCTGTAACCTTCTACTGACACGGCCGGACTGTTTAAAAGAATTCTCGTAGTTCAAGCTACAGCAATGTTTAACCACGCTTGTTAACCACCTTGACCCTAGAGCCTGCCTTAATAAATAAGTAGAGGCAGATGTTCCAACCCAACAAGCTACAGCTAAGGTTGCCCTACTAGGCAAGGCAAAGCGCAGGCAGCACAACCTTTATACTAACAAGACAAGCAAGACAGTATGCAGATAAATCCCTAGGGAGAAGAACTATAGTATAAGTCACATAGAGGGTAGTTCAGATAGTAACAAAGAAGCTAGTAATAATTAATTTCAATTGATTTTATACGTTATAGCGTAATTAACTCTTAGAAAAGGTAGAAGGGTAGGAGGAAGTAGTCTACTTAATTGTCTGCTTGCTAAATTATGTATGTACTATGGTACCAGGCCGAAGTTTTATCGCCCCTGTCACGTACCCCCCCCCCCCCCCCCCCTCCAGTCCGCCAGCTGTCAACGCTATCTAGCTATTACGCATTACCTATCACCACCAGTATAGATTTCCATAAGAGATAGGTTGAATGATTAAATACTGTGCGGCGATTTACATCACTAGGGCCATATAACTTTCCCCTGCCACCCTGTACGTTACTGTATATTGTTAATAACTTGAAGTCACTGCTGATTTTGTGTGTGACGGGGTGGGGGTTCGATGATCACTGAGCGACAGTCTAAGACCCCCGAGCGCTAATGACGTCAGGACTTATTTGTCGTTGAACGGTGACCGCTGTCCAACCTTGTCTACGTAGGGGACGAATTTCGAATCTCATGCACACATCGCCGCCGGCCTGAAAAAACCCATACACATTCTCAATTGAACTTATCCATCATGGACGACTGGCAGGAAGCTGTATTCACGAGGAGACATGTTCACAATAGTTCCAGAAAATCAAATGCAGGCGGGGGACGCGGTCGACGCGGTGGGGGGTTCGAAGTCAAAAAGGCATTTGGTAACTACGAAATCAAGTGCCCAACTGCGATCAAAACGAGCTCAGAGTTGGGGAGGAACAAAAGGAATGCCGCATCTCCAACCTTGGACGTTTTTCGTCTATCCGAAGATGGCAAGGGTTTACTAGGATATTTGAGTCTGACAGGAACCCTTGAGGCCAGCATCATCTTGACAGGAAGCAGAAAAGTACTCGAACACTTGGTATCACAGTTCGAGAACGAACAGGAATCAGAGATTGATCTTGATAAAGACGAGGATAAAGGGTCATACGATAAAGGCCAAGACGGATCTGTCCATGACAGCACTCATCAAGCTGAAGACCCCTTGACATCGGACGACCAGGAAAATGCAGATCAGTCAGCTGATGAACACCAAGAAGACAAGGAGTACATCCGGTTTCAACAGTTCGAAAAGAACAGTTTCCGCTCCCCTAAATTTTGGTTTCAGTGGAAGGGACAGGTGATGACGTCCTCAACAACGCCGGATGGCCACGCAGCCGAAATCCCTAAAGTCGATTCCGGGAGGGGCTACATCGTCTTCTCGGGCAATGATTGCCGTTCGTTCAAGGGAACAATCACATGCGATACATTAAACTGGAAGGACGTCTCTCTTTCTGGCTGGAAACAGGTTTCCATGAGTGAAAGGGATGTTCCCTTTGCATGGAACTAGTCGTCAATGATCCGGGAACATAAGACTATCCTGGAAAATCCATGTTTCTTTAGTTGTCCTTGAATTCCCACTCATAACCAACCTTGTGGTTATTACATTTCAGATATCCATGATTCCTTTAGAATCTTGATACTATACATCAATAAAAGGGAAGAGTTGCCTTAGGCATAGCCTTTTGTCTTCGATTCATTTACCAAAGCAAATTCAAGGCCGACCAATGCGTAGCTCGCAGTCATAGCCAAATCCCTGCATTAGGAGAAGGTCCAAGCACTATATCCATCAATATATGTGGTATATGAAGACCTCCAGGTACAAGTGTCCAGCGCAGCTCCGCATATTTCTGGCAATATCAGCTCGTTCATGGGATTTTGCCTATGGGGAATGCTGAAAGCCGATCTTGTACTGCAATGGCACACTTATGGTTAGAAACCCAAGCTGGTGCATTGAGAGACATATGTGATCCAAATTTCATATTCCTCAATTCCTCTTGTCTTGGTATCTTACTTCGGTGAATGCTTACAGATACGGCACATTGGGAGGTCTGAGGTTTCTAGAAAACCATGGGTTACCAAGACTAAAAAGCTTTCAATCAAAGCCGCCGTTTTTTAAACATAGAAGCTTTCACCGTTCTCAACCTTTCCGCCAAAGCTTTTAGGTCTTTCTTAATTTTCTAAGTCATCCAGACACAGCGGAAACCATTTCAACAGAGTGAAGATATGGATTCCGTTTTTTCTCATTTCTTCAATATGTGCTTTTAGAGACCGACTCTCTGACACTTCAATGTTCGTTACTCGATTATCTAACATTACTTGCCTTATCTGCCCGGATAGTCTTCAACTAAAGGTTAATATCAAAAAGCGGTTTCGACTCGACTAAACAAAAGCCATTGTCAAAGAATTTGACGAACAAGAAGGTCTTGGACGGTATCTGAGCCATAGGGTTCTGGTATATGATAGAAGAAATGAGAAATGCATTCAATTCTTGAATAGAACGCGACTTGCTTGGGAAGATATCTAAGAGGAATTACAAGTTAAGCATATCTCAGCCCACAGAGACACTCTGTATGCCTTCTATGCTATGCTGTCTCAGGCTACCTGACAACTCGCGAGGATCAGGGGTCGCCGAAACTTCTGGACATTATGTCTTCTCCGTGAGCAATATATGTCTTTGCAGCTGATACACCTATCTCTGACACTTTTTCTAGTCTGAACGCTACCGAGGGAGGCTCGCGTCGGCCTATGAAGCGGAAGTCTAGAGCCACTTCTTCAACACCTCGAGCGAAGGTAAGCGAAAAGAACCACCTTAACGTCCAGAATGATGCTTCGGATTGTTGACAATATGTTAGAAGAAAAGGATTGAGCCCGAACAACTCCGTCCTTTCTTGTTCCTGTGAGTTGGTTTTCTAGACTAGAATTAATAGTACCTCTTCCCCGCTTGCTTGTCCGCTACTTAGCTTGATGTCTAGGTCTCTGCCGCCCGAGATCAGAAACATTGTCTACGAGCTCGCTTTTGCTCGACCTGCAGGGATCGATATTGCTGGAAGACACGAGTCTTACACGGTGAAACATTCGAAGTTTCTCTGGCAACGCAAGGATGTACGCCACTTGCGAGCGCATACGCGTCGCGGCAATCTCAACGACAGGATCCCAGTCTCATTCCTGCGATGCTGCAAGCGAGTAAATTCCGAAGCTCGTACAATTTTGTATGCCAATCGCTTCAGGGTGGATGACATGGAAACTCTCGCGGTCTGGCTGCGTGACTTGGGTCCGGGGAACATTGTCTATCTGCGACGGATCCAGATCAGAACCGAGCCCCAACCATGGAGCTCTCGCGTCTCGCGAAGAGTGGAGGTGCAGCAAAGCCGTTACCGAGACGTATGCCGGAAAGTGGCCAAGATGATAGCCGCGGCGAAAAGTCTCGAGTTCCTGCAAACGGTTTTCTACTACCACCACAAGATAAAATTCCAAAGGTCGAGTCTCCAACGGCCCGGCCCCGTATCCGGCTGGATAGACCTCGCGCGAAAGGTCGCCGAGTTACTTTACGATGACTTCCGCCCAATCTTTTCACAGGGGCTCTCCCGTGGTCGAAGTCCGGAACAGCTCTGTCGCATCTTGGACGTCGGCCAGAATAACTGGTGGGGTCGCCGGCATTCATTGACCCCGTCGCAGCTCAACGCCACAGATGCCGAGCATGCCGAGAACGAGGTAGTAGAGCATCTAAGGCTACTTCTGGAGAGAAACCTGCAACACCGACACCGCTTCCATCATAAACGTCAAGAATTGGACTCACGAGGAACTAGGACTGGATGATTGAGATTGACTCTATTACTTGCGATATCTATTTACATATCGAAAATCGAGCTAACTTCTTGTCGTTATGTAATACAGAGTGAAGACGTTATCTTGGTGAGTGACTGTATTCATCTATGGCCATATTGCTATATCGCAACAAATGGCCATTTTATGGAGGGATTCTGGTGCTACACTGTTTCCCACAGGCTTGGAGGTTTAGGATTTCGACTTTCGGATTTCTACGTCTTCGTGCAAAGTCTACTGTTCCGATATTACCCTTCTGTCCTCTAGAGCCATAGGTTATTCGAGTCTGTCCCATGACACTCGTTGTCGCCAAGGCTACCATACGAAACAATATTAAACTCCAACGATCAAGGCAAAGATTGTAGGTATCGACTCGAGCGTCAAATTCTGGTTAGACCAAATAAAGGTAAATGTTTCAGGTTCATGTTCGAATTATTGCATGGGGTTTCTACCTGGTACCTATGATTTCCAGACAGTCTTGAGAACCAGTGATTTCGAAAGGCTTGGAAGAAACATGTACCTTCTCCAAGTCAAAGTCAGAGATGCGCTTCAAATTTAAATGATATCACCAAGGACTGAGTTTGAAAACGATAAAACGACACTTCCGTCAGGAAATCACCACAGCAGTCCTTCTCATGAGAAAAGAGCCGCCAATTTCCTTTGAGTTCAGAGACTATGCCTGTCAAGTATATGGCCTTTCGTTAAATTTGGTTTCTGACCTTTGGCTAACTTTCCATCCCAGGCCAAGGCATTCACGGTCATCTACTGGCCTCGCCCCAGTGCATCGAAAGCCACATCCCATGAAGCGGCCACATCCCGTGAAGCGGCCAAACAGCCACCGAGTTGACGACAACGATGCGGTGACTTCGCAAGCACCGCCCAAAAAGGTCCGTATTTTTAGAGCTTCACCGGATGATGGTAACATCAAAAGCTAATTGATTTTCTTTTCAGAGAGCCAAGATTGGTGAACACAAGCCGTGCCGTTTTCGATTCCTGCAAGTACTTCGGCGTAGTAATTACCTACCTTGCTTTGGCTAACAACTCACTGGAAGACGACTGCCCCGAGAGATTCGGAACATCGTTTATCAGCTTGCATTGGTTCACAGGGAGATGGTCATCATCAACACCCAGAAGAAGCGTGTTCCGTTCGCAGCTTCTCTTCTTCGAACCTGCAGGACCATTCATGCCGAGGCTCGTGGGATCTTCTATTCTCAGGCTATTATCATTGGTGGCCAGGTTGATCCGGTCGTTTGGCTACGTGGCATAGGACCGGGAAACCGGTTCTATCTGCGCAACATGCATCTCGGATCGACAATGGGCTTCGACCTCCCCCGCAAGAACTGCCAGGCCGTCACTCGGAAGGTGGCCAAGTTCTTGGCCGACGCACCCAACCTCAAGTCTCTGGAGATCCGGGCTATGCGCATCCCTGACATTGACTGGGATCTTCACAAGGATCTGAATGGCCAAATGCAACAGAGGCCATGGTTCATCGCAGCGCAGCACATTGCTAAACTGATATACGACGAATTCCGTCCGGTATTTTCAGCGGCGCTATCCCGTGGCCAGACTCCGCAGCAGCTTTGCACCTCTGTCAAGGCCCATAGGAACCTCTTCTCCGGACAATCAGACCAGGGACGTGCCTTCGCTACGGATGTGCTCGCTCTACGCCTGAATCAATGGGAGATTGCTGGGGCAGAGGCAGAAGTAGCTGAACATTTAAAGTTGCTACTTGAGAGAAACCTACGCCACCGCTGTCACCCTCGCTTTAAGCAACAACCTGGGATAGTCTGAATAAGACGTAGCTCAGGGCATTTCTTGCTTTCAAGATCTTGGCGGTCGCGATCAAGATCGTTCAGAGATATTAGTAGTGGCTAGTAATTGGCGTTGAGTTCGGTCCTTGTTCGACTTGTCTTGGTGGCTTGATCTTGTGCAGCGCAGTAGGTGGATTTTGAGACATCTTCACGCTGTCGACATGATTACCGGTACGTTTTCTCGTCCTGCGTTATGATTCGTTCCGTTCTAGCTTTCTCCTTGTGCTGCAGAATACTCTCCCTGCTAATTGATTTGAAGTTGCATAGGCTTGGATTATTGTTGGGTACGTATTTAAACTTCTGGTCCTCCGGGTTACTCCAGTCTACGGGGCTCCCGACCAAGACTGCCTCTACGCGGCCTAGACCCGAGGCCTTGGCATATTACACATCGGCGGTAGTTGATGGATAAGGAGCTATCCCCAGTAGAACCGCTTTTTCTGTCCCTTGGTGCTTTCTTGTGTCTTGGTGAGTAGGACCAACTTAGCAGGTCGGCTGGGCTTGCGCTGACTGTTAGCTGGCGCTACGCTTATAGATACCCTTTATTTCATTTGGAACTAAGACCAGCGCCAAAGAAAACCAATATCAACAACAACAGCAAAAACAGCTAGAGTCTCTAGTTAAACTTCTAGTTGATCTCATCAGTCCATGTGCGGTGCCTTTCTCCAGGACCGCGTCCGCAGAACAAAGCCTGCGGTTTCGAGCTGATTGTTTGCATTACACACGCAAAAAGTAATATAGCCAAAGAATAAGGATCAGCCACCTCTCATCCTTCTCCTTATCATATCTTAGAGAATATAAAGTCTTGGGCTTTTACCCGTTCCCTCTGCCTCGGCAATCAACCGCTGGTTCGCTCTTCCCAGTAGGCGTCTCATCAAGACAGCCGTCGCAATCACTAACGCCGAAAATACGAGCATAAGTATAAAGGCGAGCAGATATCGCGGGTTGTCTTCGGGCCTGAAAAAGTACGGGCTCCAAACACCTCCAAGCTGGCAGGTCAAACAGACGATCGCCATGCCTGCCGCCCGCTTTTCCGGCGTCTCACTCATCGCCGTCGAGGACCAGCTGAAGATCAGAGCCATCGAGGACATGGCCCCGGGGATGTACAGAAAACTGGCAAAGTACCGCGCGGCGTGATTGGTTGTTGCAGCGGTGATGATGAAGCCCACCATCGCGACGCCCACAGGGCCGATAACATGCAGCCCACGGTCGGCACGTTTATCTGAAGACATGCAAACAACGAGTGATGTTGCAGCAGCTAAGAGGTAGGGAGGTGCCGTGAGTAGGAGGGTCGTCGTTTGAGAGCCGAAATGGAGGCCCTGGACGATGCTCGGGAAGAAGCCGTTGAAGCCCATGGAGGTGACATAGAACGCTTGCATGCCGGCCTGGACATTGATATTAGTCCACCTCTATCTCTAACAGGCACCATGGTTCCTAAGGGGATGGCTCCTCTTTCAGGGGGGAAAGCTCACAAAAATCCACGTCCGCGGATCCTTCACGGCGAGGCCCAGACCGTGCCGAACCGAAGCATTCTCGTCCGGCAGTGACACTCTATCTTCCTTAATCCTCTGCGCGGCAACCAACAATTCTTTCTCTGACATTAGCCACGCACAAACTCCCGTCTTGGATCCCACAAAGTCGGGCAGAAACGCCATAGCGATGAAAGCCATGGCGAAGCTCCCTGCACCTTCGATGATGAACAACCACTGCCACCCTGCGAGCCCTCGTGTGCCGTCAAGGTTTGCGAATACGGCGGCGGCGAGGAGTCCGGAAAAGGATGTCGCAATGATGTTGCCAGAGAAGAGAATTGCCGTCCGGAAGGCAAGCTCTCTTTGGGTATACCAGCACGATAGGATGAACAACGCCTGCGATGAAACAATATGTCAGCTGGAGTAATATTTTAGATGGCAGACCCAGTACAGTCTAGAACTCTTTGGAGCGACGTACACCCGGGAAGAACGGCGCTTCAACCAGCCCCAACGCAACACGGATTGCGACGAGGCTGCCGAAGCCCCTCGCTGCCGCGGTCGACGCCGACACAATGGACCACAGCATGACGCAGCAAGGTATGTAGACGCTGGGTCGGATACGGGTGAGTATCATGTTGGATGGCAACTGGGCAAGCATATATCTAAAACACTCAATCAGCGGCGGCAAAACGACCAGAAAGCATGATCAAGAAAGGGAAGGTTAGACCCTTACCCCGAATGAAAGATTGCAAGCGCTGTATTAAACTCGTTCCCCATGAGTCCAATATCTCGCTCAAAGTGGTTTAATTTGGCCTGCCTGTATCGTCATCGCACACTCGTCAGTGAGCCGCTTGTATTCCGGATCGTTTGGAAGACAATCCAGGATCCTGCTAGACTTGTACATACGCGATGTTATTTCTATCAAGGTAGTTGAACATGTAGAGCAAGAAAACCATGGGCAGGAGCGTCATGTCAAGCTTCCGAACAAGCTGCTTCTCGGTCGCCTGCCACTCAGGATTCGCCACGACCGCTTCGCTGGCGGTGCTCAGCTGCGGAGTTGACGACCATGGTTGCGAGTCGTCTGTGGTTTTCGCGGCTACGTCGAGCGAGATACCTTTGCCCTTGGATTCTGAGATCTCTACCATGGTTTGGCCTTTGCACTGGCTTTTCTTCTTGGGAAGTCTCCATGCTTAGAAGATGGTATTGGCGGGCTGGGACATAAGTAGTTGTGCGAAAGGCTGCCCCTCGCTGGTTCGGCTCCTCATGACGAAAGATTCGGACGGACGCATTGTTCACCTAAAGTATAATAACTCCCTAATCTCCGTTTCCACCAGTCATCCTTCAAGGCTGTTCGCCGCAAGCAATGTTACAGTCATCCGAAAGTCGAAAGTCTGCAGCGACAGGATAGATCCGCAAAGCCAAATAAAAAGGTAGTAAACCTGAGACAGCGAGAAGGAGGCAGGGCTATTCGGGACACTCGTACAACACTCGTACGCCATGCAAGGCACCTCCAGGTATTTTGGAAACAGACAATAAACTCGCACCAGGGGCATTAATAAGTCAATTCTACTGACCCCAAACAAGAAACGAATCACAACATCTGAACTAAGCCTGGTTTCTGGGTTACTGAAACTATGATATCAAATGCCGTAAAAGTATCAAAACATCTTTGATAGCGAACCCTACTTCCAGCTTCAGCGATCTCGATGTGACTGCCAACATGCGGTTAAAATCGACGACTTCCAATTCTGGATTATGTCCACATGTACATATCGCTTTCTGTATCTCTTACCTCAAAAAGTACACTCCCGGCCGTTCGGTCATCCTCCATCCAGTCAGTCGTTGGTGTCGTGTTCCGAGAAACCATTAAACTTCTCTGTTAAACTCATAAGGTAGATGGTAATGTCTGAATTAACCGAACAATCCGAATCTTAACTGCCTTGGGCAAATTGTTGCATAGATACATAAGTAAACCGACCATCAGCCATAATCAACCGTTCAAGCGCAGACCAACTTGACACTCTTGAAGCCGAACGGCAATATGGTGTCAGAAGCAACACCGCCTTCAACAAGCTTATCAAAGTAGGGGGCCTCGATGCAATTGGTCTTCTGCTTCCCCAACAGAGTCCCGCTGTCGACCGAGTCGCCCATACAGTTGAATTCAGGGAACACAGAGATGCGGCACGTTCTGAGTGTGAGCTGGTCGAGCTGCCCGAAGAACGAGGTGGGCGGGTGGATGGGGCAGTCGGTGTCGATGTCCTGGCATATGTTGGCTGTGAGAGACAGCGGGGTGAACGGGCAGAGGAGGTTGGTGGCGAGGCTGCTAACAGCGCAGAGGGGGGCCAGGAAAGGCGTGAAGGTCGCGCACTCGTCTGCGGTGCGCTGCTGGATGACAGCGGCGGAGGCGAGGCCGGCGAGGAAGAAGGTGAGTGTGAACTAGATTTTTGGTCAGAACCATCCGTGGGTGGTGATGGTGTGGGAGGGTTATAATACCTTCATGTTGGTGTTGGTAAAGGGTTGGTTGGAGAAACTTTGGTATAAAGTGATTGGTATGTTGCCTTGTGTGTGGGAAAGAGTAGAGAGTCTGGATACTGTAGAAAGATTGAGAAAATATTGCTTGATGGATATTAACAACAGAGATACGGCCGACGAGATCGTTGTTATATACTATCCGACGATGATATCTGGAAGCAAAACATGCTGTGGACGCCAGCTTTTCCCCAGCTCTACTATTACACCAATCCTTTACAAGATGCACTGATGGAATCCAGTCCAAGCTACACGCCCAACTATCGACTACCGACAACGCCTCCAGCTAGAATAAGCAAGTTTAGAAAAGAAAAGAAAAAATCATTCCAAAGAGATAGCTGTGCCAAGATTGAGCTTGAAAGAGCTCTAAGTGGGCAAAGGTAAGTTCGCACAAAGAAAGCGATAGCGGGAAAGGGCCCACAAAGACGGGTTGTCAAAACACAAATAAGAGGCCTAAACCGTACAAGTAGATCATGCAAGGCTCGTGTGGCTGCTGCCACCATTCACAGCCACCGATCTTAAGTCCAAGTAGCCTATCTAGGTGGAGAATTGGGGCGGCCACCCGGTATGCGGCGCTGCCGAACTAGCAATTGTGGCCGATAGCTCTACGGTAGCTTCGATATAGGCAGCTAGGAAAAAAGTTCATTGAGAAGCGCCGGATTCTTTCTATAGCCTGGAGTGCAGCGTCTATGAAAGGTAAGCCCTTGAGCTGGGTTCATTATCTTGCTCCAGAGAGCAAAATACTGAATAATATGGTCTCTGCAGTGTATCATATCGTCAACTCCAGGGCAGGGATGTTCCCGAGTCACGACTTGCCTCCTGTGATTAGTGACAACAGAGAACCAGAACTTGTCGCAAGGGTTTCTTTCATGTTGTCTTGAACAAATCAGCAGAGAATGCTTGGGGGCATTCGGAAGTGATTATTTACACAATATAAACAAACCATGTATCGTGAAGCAGTATCACTTGGGGGGCATTTCACAAGGTTGAAGGTGGCTTGTTATTTCTGTATAGTATTGCGCCACAAGGCACGTCTAAACACTACTTACCCCGCCCCTAAATCCACAAGCGATGCTTGGCAATATACCCACGCGGGCTGATGAGGTACTCGCGTAACACCACGGCTATGGAAAAATAGCAAAGGGAAAGGTGAGATTGTTGATAGGACCGCTCACTGAGCTAAAACATTTAGCTTAGGCACTGCTGCATGTCAAGACTCATAAACAAACGTGGAAAAAGAAGGAAATCGCTACTACCACCACATGCTACTACAGTTCGGCATTCTATGATACAGCTGGTTACGATTTCTCGCCGGTAAACAATGCGCAAGAGGTGTGTATGGGAGTATCACCACAAATCAAACAAGCAAATTAACAAACCCCAAATTCCATGCCTAGAAAGACCCTTGAAGCATCCTGTCCCTGAACGCCCGATGCTCAGCACACACTCCGTGATGCGCGTCTGAATGATCCCACTGTCTCGTCATTGCATTATCTGGTCTGCAAACTGCAGTCAAAAGGCGAGGGCGACTACTCCTTCTTGGCGCTATCATCTGCCGGTTTCTCATCGACATCCATCTTGTCCTCTTCAGGTTCAGGGACTTTTTCCTCGGGCTTTTCGTCAGCAGCCACCTTCTCCTTTTCTGGAGCGGGCTCCTCGGCAGCAACAGGTGGCTCCTCGCGCGTGGCTTCATCTTTGGTCTCCTTGGCCTCGGCAACTTCGGCCTCCTTTGCTGGCTGCGAGTCGACTGCTTTGGCAACTTCTGCGGCAGGTTCCGCGGCCTCAGCTGTCTCTGTAGTTTCAGCTGAGGGGCGCTCGGCAGCAGGCTCGGTCGATGGCTTGCGCGATGCCGGCTTATCTTCCTTTTCATCCTTCTCGGCAACCTTAGTTGGCTCTGCCTCGACTTCCTCTTTCTTAATTGTCGTCGTGGCCTCCTCGGCATCGACGCCGTCACCCATACCGACATCACCATCTTCGTCCACGACATGCTCCTTCGGTGCCTCGGGTACGGCCTCCTTCTCAGGGACGGCCTTCTCGGGCACTTCCTCGGTATCGACGGTCTTCTCCAGAGTGATGTCGGCGTCCACGATTGGCTCAGCATTAGGGGCTTCTTCGCCCTCGGGGGCACCGTTTACTGGTGAGGGGGCTCCGCTCTCGGCATCGCGATCGGCCTGGCGGTAGTCACCGAATGTGCGTTTCTTGGCATTCCGGGGGCGGGTCATGCCATTGGCCTCGTCCATATCCTCGTCGTCGCTATCCTCAAACTCGGCCTCGTTGCGGGTGCGCTGTTCCCAGCGGCGTTGTGTCATGCGCTCATCGGGATGCTCGTCCTCGTCCATATCGTTGAGCTCGGCCTCCTCTTCGTCGGTCATGCCACCGAAGGGCTGGCGAGGCACGTCTTGCATCTGCACAGAAGGAGCAGGCTGGGTGTGTCGAAGGTTGTCAATAACAGCGGCCTTGATCTTCTCGAGATATTCGAAGCTGTTGGAGTTTTCCATGTTGGAGGGACGGACGTTCAATTCGAAATCGGGGGCATAGTACTAGTCGACGGTCAGCCATGTCCAGGACCAGGACTAGGGAGGGGAACCTACTTCGTAGTATTCATTGTACGGCAGGGTCTTGGGCAGATGCTTGCCGACCAGGACACCGGTCTCGAATGCCCACGTCCGGGCGACGTTGCGCATGGTGTATCCACCACCGCCAAGAACCAAGGTTGGCAGACCGAAGCTCTTGACGTAGGCAACGCAGTTAGCGTGGCCTTCCATGCTCAGGTTGAAGCAGCCCAAGCGATCACCAGACAGACTGTCACCACCACACTGCAAAACAACAGCCTCGGGCTGGTAGAACTTCATGACGTGCTCGATGACCGGCTCAAAGATGGACTTGTATGATGTATCGTCGATGCCGTCACGAAGAGGGAAGTTGACGGCGTAATGCTTGCCGGTGCCGATACCGATGTCGCGTAGTTCTCCGGTACCAGGGAAGTACTCTCCGTATTTGTGGAACGACACAGTCATGACTCTGTCGGTGGTGTAAAAGGCCTCCTCGACACCGTCGCCGTGGTGGACGTCGATATCGATGTAGAGAACACGCTTTTTGAAACGGAGTAGTTCGAGGATACCGAGGACGATGTCTAGACGGCGGTTAGAGAGTGCAGGAGGCGACACATCAAGATTAGATTGCAGTGCTTACCATTGACATAGCAGAAACCACTTGCTTCGCTCTTCTTGGCGTGGTGAAGACCGCCAGCCCAGTTGACGGCGATGTCGCATTTTTGGCGATTGAGGCGGGCAGCGCCCTCCATGCTACCACCAGCACTGATGCCGCAGAACTCGAAGAGGCCGTCAAAGACAGGACAGTCGTCTCCGACATTGTACTTGCCCTGCTCTTTCTGGTAGGCATCCATGTTGTCGGGGGTGACCTTCTGGAGGAAATCGATATACTCGTCGGTGTGGAACTGGGTCATCTCTCCTCTAGTGGCCGGTTTGGCACGCTGCACACGATGGGGGTCAGTGTCTTGGTGTCGATGGCGGCGCGGCGGGAGCAAAGGGGATTTTTGGAGTTCAACCTACATAGATCTCCATGTTCTTAAACAGGTCATAGTGCATAATCAAGCTGTGTGCCAGGCGAATGCGATGGGGCTTCATGGGGTGGCCAGTAACGTAGGCATAGTTACCAATGTCGGAATCGTAGAAGTATGCGACTTTCTTTGGCGTCGCGGAGCCGTTGGCCAGGGCCACCGATCCGAGAGGTGACATGGCTTCGGTCGGTGTTCAATTGGCGATGGTGTACGTCGTCGGCTAAATCTAGGTAAGAGGAGGGAAACTTGGTGGGCGGGAGGGAAGATTGGAAAAGGTGCGAAGGCTGCGGGAGCTCTCTGATCGGCTCGGCCCCAGATTTCCCAAGGCTGCGTGGAGGCAAAGCGATAGGCCAATGGAATCACGCGATGACGGACAGGGGCACAGAGGCTGACGGCGAGGTTATCGACCAATGAGAAGCGTCTTCGCGTTGGCGGGCAGGGTCGGCAGTACTGATGATCCGGTCAACAGTGTTGTGTGATTCGTCAAAGCGGGCCAGGGGCTGCCAGCTGAAATCGCCCAATGAGCGTAGCTCGTGGAGCCGACTAGGGGTTGACGTGTGGAGGGGCTCTATCTGGAAGATGCGTAGGCAACCGTACATAGGTACGGAGTAGCTTGCGCACTATTCCCTGTACCTATCTAGGTAGGTAGTCAGTACATCTGGATAGGAGCCATGATTGTGTGTAGGGGGGTTATAAATGCTACCAACCACAAATCTTGCTGGCATCAGGTCGCGTTTCTGGCGTAGCACGAAGACATCAACTGAAAATATTAAAGATGGATGCCCAGTCCAGCTTTACAGGCGGGCATCAACATCCCGTCCGTGCGTAAGTACCTAAGTACCTACCTGCGGCGTTGAGGGGTGGTGTGGCTATGGTTGCCTCGACGCCTGTGGCTGTGGCTGGGATGAATGGATGCGGTGTGGCTTGAACCGTGCAACCTCAACCGGAGTTTATGGCCAGGTACCTCCAGTGTAATATCGCCGAGGCCGATGTTTTCGGAGTCCTTTCCAAGTAGCCATAGAGAAAAAAAAGTATAATTATTAAAGCGACTCTTTCATTCCCACAATAATCAGCGAAAATATCTGAAGAGCTTCTTCTTCGCACCTTCGCATTTGTCCCAGCCCGCCGCCTAGTGGCTATCCCTTCCACACGTGACTGTTTGTCAGCTGCAAGCGGTACGTACCGGACCGGGCTAGCTCCGCCGGGTCCTTTTTCGCCAGGCTGCTCAGAGCTGTCGTCAACAACCCACAACCCAGCTACCTCCATCCGCCTCTATCGCCTCAATCCGCCTCCTCCAAAACACCCCTCCAAGCAACCTCATCGCACGACGTATCTTCGACTCTCACCTACTCCGTACTCAACGAATCTCAATTATCGACTGATACCCTCAGAATGGAGCGCTTTAGGAACATGCTCCAGTCCCAGGGCTTGGGCGGCCTGGGAGGCCAATCCGGAACGGTAAGTGCATCCCACCCTCGGGAATTGCTTCGATAGCTATAATGACCCGCGTTCTCTCGTTCTCTTGTCATCATTGACTAACATGCTGCGCCAGGATAACACGCAGCTCATCGATAACTCCGAGACCGTTTACATCTCTTCCCTCGCCCTCCTCAAGATGCTGCGACACGGTCGTGCTGGTGTCCCCATGGAAGTCATGGGTCTGATGCTGGGAGAGTTCGTGGACGACTTTACGGTGCGCGTAGTGGATGTCTTTGCCATGCCTCAAAGCGGTACCGGTGTTAGTGTAGAGGCCGTCGACCCTGTGTTCCAGATGAAGATGATGGACATGCTGAGACAGACCGGAAGGTGCGTTGAAGCCCCGCTATTGCTTGCTGCCGCGCGTCCTAAACTGACAATCATACTCCGACAGGCCCGAAGCTGTTGTCGGCTGGTACCATTCCCATCCCGGTTTTGGTTGCTGGCTTTCATCCGTCGATATCAACACCCAACAGTCCTTCGAACAGCTTACCCCGCGCGCCGTTGCCGTCGTCGTCGATCCCATCCAGTCCGTCAAGGGCAAGGTTGTCATTGACGCCTTCCGCCTCATCAACCCTCAGTCGCTCATGCTCGGCCAAGAACCTCGGCAAAGCACGAGTAACCTGGGCCACTTGAACAAGCCCTCGATCCAGGCCCTTATCCACGGCCTGAACAGACACTACTACTCCATCGGCATCAACTACCGCAAGACGGCGCTCGAGGAGAACATGTTGATGAACCTGCACAAGCACGTCTGGACCGAGGCTTTGGAGATGAACGACTTCAGACACGAGGCCAACTGCAACAAAGAACGCTTGGAGAGCCTAGTCAGCTTGGCCGAGGGCTACGAAAAGCGCGTCAAGGAGGAGACCGAGTTGACAAAGGACCAGCTCAAGACCCGCTACGTCGGCAAGCTTGACCCCAAGAAGCACTTGGAGGATGTTGGCCAGCAGCTGATTGAGGACAACATTGTGTCCGTATCGAGACAAATGATCGACAAGGAGGCGACAATGCCCAAGAAGGATGCACCCGCGGGTACCAAGGACCACTCGAACGGCGATTCCATGGACGTGGAGGAGGAGTTGTAAACGGGAAAAGACCATGATTCAGGAACGGTCTACAGGCGGGATACCAGGACTTTGCCAACACTGTACGATTAGGCGTTTGAGGGGTTGGGAACGCAGCATCTAGAGATCCCGCCAGGCACAAGACGACTATGAACTCAGCACGGTTTGAACGAAACTGCTCTGGTCCTCCAACTTGTTGTAAACCTGCAGTGGCATTATGGTCCTGACTGCCACTGTGTTGCGACGCAATGCTGCTGACAGCTCTTTGTGAGCTTGTCTGGCATACTTCGGGCCGAACATCCACGGTCAAAGCCGGGGTCCACTGCCGTTGCCTAGTTTTATTTGAATGGCACTGACCCAGAACGAGCCGGAAGCTTAGGCGCTGTTCTCATAGGCATTGTTCTGAGATAATGACACTGCTTCCTAGACTCCGGTAGGACAAGCCAATCTTTCGACTACTTATGTCCAGCTCCAACGTCGTCAACCAAGGGATAGTTGACGTGAAACGAATACGACTTGCTTGCACTCAAACCTCAAGGCGCGGCCAGCGTGATCGACTTGCCACTTTCTGTCCAGTACGAAATGACCTCTCTCCATGCCACGAGGCATTTTCTCTGGGCACCTTCCTTTTCTCTCCCTTCGTTATCTAACTTGACCTCTGTGAAGGTCAACCATCGTCGCTCGACGTCGACCGTAGGTCTCTTCAACTTAAAACTTCAGAATACTTCCATCAACCCGGGGCAACAGCGTAGCGGAACACCTAAGGAACTTGACATCGTAGAGGCGTTGAGGCTGCCATTTGGACAAATCCGCCGACTCATCAAAAACATGATGCCCATGCCCTCATCAAATTCGAACTGTAGTGATCGAAGCCCGTTGCTCTGCAGCCAACTAGACGATTCACTCACCTGGGCGAACGAGTCGTATTCCACGTACCAAGGCGACACCGAAGCCAAGCATCTATTACGTTCACGCCCGCCGCCGCAGTTGCCCAACCAGGGCCCGATGACGCCGGCATCAACCTACCAAGTCCTCCACCGCATCGGCCAGACCTTCTGCCACGTCCAGTACGCCGTCTGCGGCGCCGCAGCCATGGTGGCATATGGCAACAACGCCTGTTGCTGCACTCACGTGAGTATCGTGTGCCCGGCCTACGCCGGAGACGTCATCAAGTCGTGGGCCGCAGCTACTAGCGACATGCTGGTCTATCCTGGTGAGCTGGACATGATGATGATGATGATGATGATGATGATATTTAACGCCCGTCAGGTCCAGTCTGTGTGGCACAAGGCGCCTGCTTGGCCTATCTACTATTATTTACTAGCCTAGGATTCCTCTGCAGAAGGAATCTTGGGTATAACAATGTCCCTCTCTGACAGTGTAAATCCCTTATCTTAAGCCTATAAATTAGTGTTTTCCTCCTAAGAATATATATAAAGTTAAAGATACTAGGTAATAACTATATAGGGAGGTATAAAGTTAAGTTATAAAGTAGTAAGGAAGAAGGCAAAGGTTTAGTAAAGGTAGGTATATATATAACTAAAGGCAAAAGTATAGCCTTATTAAAGGGTAAAAGGGGAAGTATAGGTAGGTATAGTAATAAAGATATATAAGGAGGACCTTAGCTAGCTAATAGTTAAAAGTAACTTATAAAAGTACTAAATTAACTTATAAGGCCTTTTAGCTAAGCTAGTAATACTAAGCTTAAGTTATAAGGTAGCCTTATACTATAGGTCTTCTTTTTAGAGGGTTAACTAAAGGTAGTAGCCTAGGCTATTGTCTACTAAGGGCTAAGTGTATATATTAACCTTCTAGGTATTATCTTAATAAACTTAGCCTACTACTTCCTAAGCTAGGCTTTTATACTAAGCTAGGGGAGGTAAGGCTAGGTATATTAGTAGTATAGTAAGTACTTTAGGCTTTTTAAAGCCTTATAGTAGTAGTACTATTTAGTGTTATTATAAGTAAAGTAGTTATAATATACTATATAGTCCTTATATCTAGTCTAAGTAGCTAGAAGAAAATAGAGCTTATAGTAAAAAAGTTTAAGCTCTAGGGGAGGTTTAATAGTAGCCTTAAGGTCTTAGAGGCCTTATAGGTAGTAGTACTCTAGGCAAAAGGTATACTACTAGGTAAAGAAAGTATAAGTAAAGTCTAAGTTAATATAGTACTTAATATAGCTAATTATAGGGGGGTATATATATAGGTCTAGGGACTTAATAGTTAAGTTATATTTAGTAAAGTAGTCTATAATATTATTACTATAGATCTATATATAGCTAAGGGACTACTAGACGTCTACTACAAGAGGAGACTCCTTAGCTAGGTGCTAGAAGTTAAGGAAAGTAGATTATAAGGAGTTAGTAGGGGTACTATTAAGGCACTATATAATAGCGTAGTTATCTAGGTAGACAGAGATGTTAGTTATTTCTAGGTAATCTAGGGCAATCTAGAGGGCTACGCAGAGGCTAGTATTAGCCCCTTCTGCTTTAGCGTCAAAGACCTCTGTGTTTAGAAGTCAGCGGTAGCTAGCGTGCACAAGGGCGGGTCCCTAGAAGACAGTATATCTGTAGCCAGTGTTGTGTAAGGTGGTCTATAAGCCATCAGTGTATACTAGCAGGTGGGTAGGGGGTAGGGAGGGGCAAGCTGGACATCATTAGCATCGCAGACAATGACGGAGACGTCTGGATGGTTAAGATAAAACCCATACCCTACGACGGTCGCTTTAAGACGCTACCCGCAGTCGATATGGGCTTTGGCGCAGATAGGGCTCTAACGAAGATTCTAACAATGCCGGCGCTCGTGGACCGGATTGCTGCCGCGTACGTGCTCGGATTCGGCGGGTCTGCCACGGAAGAGGTTTGCTTGGATGACGTAGCGGGCGACTTGACCTGGCTGCTGAGCCGGATCTGCGAGGACGACCGGCCGGAGCAGCAGCTCACGAGCCAGGGTGTTCCCGCTATTAGGAGCCCGGAGTTCTGGATCGACTTTACGAGTGCGCATCCCGGGCTTCCCGGGCTCTTTTACGACGCGGGGCTTCGGGCAGGGGTCGCTGAAAGTGCTAGGCCACAAGTTGAGCCGGAAGATTCGCCGCTGCGAGACGGCGGCAGCGGCCTAGGGAGGAAGAGGCGGCTCACGGCAGGTTTTAACCTCGGACTTCACCGGCGTCGCCGGGAAGGGCCGAACATGACGAGGGCGGAGGCCAGGAAGATTTTGTCGGATCCGCCATTCTGGCGGAGGTCGTCCGGTCAGATGTTTCGCCGTCGACGCGAGATTGAGGGTTCGCTCGTCGGAGAGCCCATGTCGGGTTTTGGCACCAGGGTCTCTCGCTTTTTGTTTGGCGACTCCCGCAAGTCGACGACAAGGCTCCGGGGAGGCGGCGATCATACATGGCGTTACTCTCCCGCGGTTACCAATTAAGATACAATATGGGAGCTTTTAAAAATCACATTGAAATGTCAGATCATGTAAATTCATCAGAACAAAAAGCTCCCGTACTGCCAAAGATTACTTGAGCATCTTTCAGCCGTTCTATTTGTTCTCCATTGACGTGGATTGAACTCATTCGGGTCTTCATTTATATAGTCAAGTGTTGATTTGACTTGATCATGTCTATAATTGCTTTGGCCAGTAAGTGAGACATAAGTTGGAAGAAAACAGACGAGATGTTGTTGTTGTTGTTATATTTAACGCCAGGCCGTTCCTGTGTAGGACAAAGGGCGCCTGGGGTTGCGGGCTTCCGCCTAAGTAAGTACATATAACAATAATTACAGTCCCTTTCTGTCACAATCGGTATGTCTTATGCCATCGTCTTCTCTTCTGCTTCCACCAACGTCCCAGGAGTTCAACTAGAATTGTTCCGTGCTGTCAAGTGCCCAAGGCTCTTCAGCTGCCAGGTCCCATGCGGTATCCCCCAGTTGATTCGTGTAAAACAGACGAGAGGAGGTAATGGATCAGACTTGTATGATCAGAATCTTGGTATACCTGAAACTGGTAGCATTAACTCCGGATATGTACGCAGGGTATTATAGTAAGCCAGGCCTCAATTATGTAATCCCTCTATTCAAAGATTGTTTTCCATATCGGACACCGTTACTTTTTGAAGCAAAAAGACAACGTCTAGACCGTGAGGAAGAACCTGAGGAGATCACGCCAACTTTGTTTCACAAAAGGGTTAGAAGACAACACGGAGAGGTCGAACCCAATCTCAGTACAGTGTCATCGAAAGGGCAGGATCAGTACTGCGGAGATGAAGCTCCAAAAACAATCTTCAGCTGGTCGGCCTAATAATTATAAAGCTGTCGGAAGAAACGCAACGCCACCCGAAGAGCCAAGAGATGCGACTTTTCACCTGCAGAGTGGGCAGCTTCAAAGATCCCTGTACCCTCCACCTTCCGAGATTCATGGTATACAATGCTGTTGACATTATCGATGTAGTAGTATAGAATGTCACTTGTCCTATCGATGCAGGCCCCTTCCCCATTTCGGCATCTCTCGGCATCCTCACGCTACTGCGAGGCAATGTATCCAGGTCAACAGCTATATGATCAGTATGCGACCACACCCAAAGTGAGATGCAGGTCAAAAGGTACGCCAGATCATGATGGATTTAGAATCACTGGCAAAAAGCTTTAGCACGAATATGCTCTCCATCAGTCGGTGAAATAATGAGCATGTCGTCTTATACTAGATGCATACATGACACTAAACCCTGTAAACCTGGCCAAGAAGTAGCATATCCTAAAGAGAAGCGGAAAAACTCTCTAGCTAATGCTTTCTCCTCTGAGCACAGGGTAGGGTCTTGGAGTTTCTTGGTCATTTGCCCCCAAGCGATCTTGCAACCACCAAAGCTCAGTTCCAGAACTACGGATCGTTCTACATTTTCGGAGGTCTAGAAGGCGTTACCGCGGTCTCATCCGGGAAAGATTTCCCGTTAGAGCCGCTCTGTACCAAGCGTGCGACGCTCATACCACAGGACGTGGCATCGAAAGAGGTCCAGTGCATATGCTGTAGTCATTGTTAAGGTGCCAATCTGGGAGAAATGGCATCATTGAAAGACTAACGCCATGTCGCTTCGTCTTTTTCGAACACGTAGAGTTACAGCCAGTATTGGCACAGTCTTGCATGCATTGTAGGCAGGCACAGCAGGTTTGCCTGCAGGTTTGGAAGTCTTGTCACCCGTTAGCAGGTTTGCTTACCTGCCGACATGGGTGATCAACCCCGAAGCTCTGAGGTTGCCAATAATAAGTGCTGTGCCGTAGTAGGACATTGCAATTCTCACGAGGGCTGGGGGGTGGCGCCAATTAGTGTCGGCTTGTCGGTGCGATCTTGCAGCGGTGGTTTCTGGTTTCAAAGGCTTGTCCTCTTGGCAGGAGTTATGATGTACGGGATGGCAAAGTACCACAGTCTTTACCAATAGCAATATGGCCGTAGGTCCATATACCGAGATCCATTTGGACTCAAGAATAGATGCGCCGCACAGCTGCTCACCACAACGTCTACCAAGCCGGATGCCGGCCGAGACCGCCATAGAGGACCACCGGCGAGCCATGATGAGGATCAATATGGGCCCCTTGACACCATACCAGTCTTCTTCAGGTTACATCTACCGATACAGCTCTTCCTTTTACTGATGGGCCCGGTCATTCCCGGCAACGAAAGTTACGTACTGAGGCCCTACGTTTCGCGGGATTAATATGTCGACAGCCAGCTTTGGCGATGAGTGAAATTTCGTAACCAATGTAGCATGATTCGAAGCTGGTGAATGCACAGGACACCGTCTCAAGATTGATGGACTTTCAAGTATACTCTTAGATTACCAGATTTCCACGTTGCAGTCACTCCTAGCGTCTATCGCTTTCTTGATGAACATTTTGTGAAAAACTTGGTTTGAGACAAGAATTGATTGTCATATCATTCAGAGAAGCCTCTGATCTTATTCTGGTATGCCCATTGCTTCCTTCATCATTTTATTATCGTAGATAATTCTACCGGTATTCAATGGCCGTCAGCATCATCAGGTCAGATGCAAGAAGGTGCTGTGTCTGGACTTTTTTGCGATGCAGTCCTCCAGGCCCCCAGTGTTTGAACCACTCAAGTGTCTTAAAGCGCGATATTTCTTATGCAAGGCGGTAGGAAACGATGCAGATGAAAGCATCATAACTGGATATCGAGGTTTTTTCTCTCTTCAGTAGCAGGGACACGTTAGATCGGGATCCAGCATCTAGAACAATATAGGAAACGGCTTTCAGGTCCGTAATCTCAGAAAAGATAAGCAGCAGCTTCGGCTTTTTCGCGGTAGCATCAAGTGACCAAAGATACCTAGAAATGTGAGCGGATTGGATTGCCTCAGTGTGGCGTTGGATGTCGGCCCGTCTGAACCAGAGCGAATCCACTATGAGAGTGACCAGTAGCTGTGGCTGGGCTTCCAAACACGTCCTGATCTTTGCATTTCTTTACGCGGAGCCCAAAAGCAGGTGTGCGGTTGATCAGCCAAGAGGAACCGAGCCAGGGTGACGAACAGGGGCAGCCAACGAACAGTGCAATGAGTAGGCTAACAAGTTACGAGTTCGTGTTGTCGGGTTGGCTGTTTCCATGTGTCCTAGCTTTGCCAGTCTTCCTGTCGATTTTGGTTGTACTACTTCGTGGAGATCGCCACGAAGTCGACAGGGGAACTGAAGAAGGATTCCCATGCTGGATGGCTTGCCGCAGCTGGGGATCGATCCCAGGAGGACCCGCAGTGCATCATCGCGATCCTATGAGAAACTGGATATACCGACTCCCCCGCCCATTACTCACTAGGGAACAAACGAAACAATTTGTCAACTCTTGCGACAGATCAACGAGTTGTCATTATACTAGTGTTCGCCATCTGTCAAGATGTGATATGAGGCGTTGATTGCTGCCCGCAATTTACAGCGCCGTTTTTGCGACACCATCCAAACAGCAGAACTCCGGCGTGACAGATGGGCGGATCCGCCATTGCAAACACTTAACTCAAGCGAGTTTAGAGGCGTCTTGCGGACTGGGCTGCCGTATTGAGCAAGATTTTAGCGCGGAGAGAGGCGGCCCGTCTACCAGATAGGAATAGCGTCGTGGTTGTGAGGATGAGGAGATGTGCGTATTAGACATGGAACATGGACCTTTGTCACCATAGTCAACAGCCCGCATTTTCCCCCGCATCACTTCACGTATCCGGTTTGGGCAGTCTGCTTTCATGGCAGAAGGGAATGCATGTCTCCGTGGGCGTAACGGATTTCTGATATGGTGTCGAAACTACCGTGTTTGCATCCGCAATACTCCAGTTCATTCATGGTCCCTTGCTAGTTAGCCAACGCTAGTCGTGACATTTGCTGCACTTCTGATGCAATGTACTTCGGTTACCATACCTACTACGGTTGAGGTAGGTAGACAAGGCGCTTCCTCGTAAGGTTGACCATCCATCCTACACATCTCATGTGTTTCTCCGACAAGTTAGTCCTCGGGTAGTCCTCAGGTAGTCCTCAGGCAACAATAGATGCCGGGGAGATTAGCAAATGGGCCTCAGTTATTGTTGTTCCTAGACCACATGGAAAGACGGGCCGGTAGGAGTCGACTCCGAATCCTCTCATTTCGACCCATTATGTCCCAGGTGGGTTTGGCGTTTGCTTTCTCCAGATCTGACCTCCAGCATTTCACTCCCCCGTCCAAAGTCGCCCTAGCCAACCCTGCATACTACCTAAGTGCGTTCGCATGCGCTGGTTATGTCCCCTGTCTACTGCAGGTTGTCGGAGCCTGGGGGCGGGTGCATCAACGAAAACGACTCCACGGGTGTCAGCAACCGTAGTTCGTGTTCCAGCAATGGCGAAAGTAGCCATGGATTGCCGTCGGGGGAAAACTCAAAAATGTCATGGATAGGTTGCACTTGCAAGCAGACTAGGCAAACCGGCCTGGTCGACTCGGGGCGAGACGGGTAGTGTTTCCACAAGCCCACCCCCAGATCCAACAACAAACCTTCGTTGACATTTCCGGATCTCTCCAGCGTGTCTCCACAAGGGCCGTTGTTAGTAAACAGTTTAACGCTCATCATCCCTGGCACCATACGGAGTGCGGAGCCCGTCGACCCGCTCGCTGATCTGGGGGAAGGGCATGGTAGAGATCAAAGGCCGGCCCAATGATTCTCTGTCTCCACGTGTTAACGCTCCCTTTACGCCGACCACTTGATCTCCGAATCCTTGATAGCGAGTCTTATGTGACACCCCTCCTCGTCTGTGCCGTTAAAGTTGGATAGCTGGAAACTTGTGTTCCTTCGTAGGCACGGCAAATACACCCAACTCCTCACTCATACGCACATCCAGAGTATGGCACTAGATGAACCCCTGTTGGAGACAATTGGGGTTTCTCCACGTGCTAAGGCAGGTAGATAGATATAATGGTAGGCTGGACTTAACCAACGCCCTTATGGATTGCTTCAAGAGCAGTGCGCATTGCGTCCGAATTAAATCGCTATGCAACCATTACAGGATCTTAGGGAACGATCAGCCGGTCCCTGATAAGCTGTGTCATGCCCCAAGACAGCCACACCTAAAATCATAAGGGACGTTTTTTGGATCGCAGCCGGGGCCAAGCCAAATCAACGAGGCGAGAACCGGCGATTGCATCCCGACATCCAACAAGCCCAACATCTAGTTGCCCTATGCCCCGTGCGCCTTGAGAGCCAGGTGTCGCCCACGATCTGCACGTCTTCTCCAACATTGCGGAGGGAACAAGGGGCTAACGAGGGGGGGTGGAGGAAGGTGGTGCAACCACCACCGATCTGCCCACAAGCAATACAATATTACTCCAGGGATGATTCCCCTAGTTCAGCCGCTACTTCGGTCCCATGTGGGAGTGGTAACGGCTTGTCCTCCCACACCGAGCAGGGGTTGCAGTCTTTCAACGGGCGAGCTGATCAACGGGCAATTTTGGGGCACCACTTCTCCTCCGTTAGCATCTTTACTACCCATTCCCGTCAAAGACCCCCAAGGCATTGGGGCGAGGCTGGCCAAACTCATAAAACCTCGGCGTGTTCCTGCGATCCCTGGTCTCTTTGTCTCGAGCTCTCCATCCTCTTCCTCGCCCATCCGCCTCTCGCTCCGCCTTGACTTCCATTGCGCGCAGCTCGGGCTCGTGGGAATCAGTAGCCTCAACCTTGCTTGCCCTTCTCCATCGTTAACAACAACGTGCCACATATCGCTACCATGAGTGAGAAGATCGACGCCGTGGACACGGTCCACGTCCACGACAATGACTCGGACAAGGCAAGCTACTGCGATGCCCTCAGTCGGTCTCTTTCTCGACGAACATGGACTAACATGCCGTTTTTGTACAGAAGGAGATCCAGACCAAGGTTGTCACTGGCTCCGAGGCCTTCAACGAGGCCATGATCAAGGAGCCCCCCAACGCCTGGAGCAAGGCGCAGATCCTCATCTATGCTTTCTCGCTCATCGGTTTCTTCTGTTCGACCATGAACGGATACGACGGGTCCCTCATCAACAACTTGCTACAAAACCCCTCCTTCAAAGAGCGCTACGGCGCGAAAAACGACGGTATCTGGGCTGGTATCATTTCGTCCATGTACCAAATCGGTGGTGTCGTCGCCTTGCCCTTCGTCGGTCCTGCTCTCGACACCTGGGGTCGTCGAATCGGTATGCTTATTGGTGCCGGCATCATTATCGTCGGAACTTGCATTCAGGCCACTGCCAATGGAACCAGCCAGTTCATGGGAGGTCGATTCCTCCTTGGCTTCGGCGTATCCATTGCCGCTTCCGCCGGTCCCATGTATGTTGTTGAGATCAACCACCCCGCCTACCGTGGAGTTGTCGGTGCCATGTACAACACCCTCTGGTTCTCCGGTGCCATCATTGCCTCCGGTGTGGCCCGAGCCGCTCTCGATATCGAGGGTGATGCTTCATGGCGCCTCATCACCTGGATGCAGGCCCTGTTCTCCGGTCTTATTTGCCTCTTCTGCATGTGGATGCCCGAGTCCCCCAGATGGCTTTTCGTAAACAACAAGAAGGAACAGGCTATGGCCGTTCTCACCAAGTACCACGGCAATGGCAACGCTGAGTCCCCTTGGGTCAAGCTCCAGCTTCATGAGTACGAGGAGCTCCTTAACATGGACGGTGCCGACAAGCGCTGGTGGGACTACCGTGCTCTTTTTCGAGACCGTGCCTCCATATACCGCCTCAGCGCCAACGTCTGTATTTCTATTTTCGGTCAATGGGCCGGTATGTTGTTCTGTTATCTTCTAACGGTATTATGAGTGGCTTAGTACAAAAGCTAATTACCTTCTAGGCAACGCCGTCCTCTCGTACTTTCTTGGCAGGCAAGTTCGAATGAAATCCAGTTGTTGACAAATATCACCAATATTAATGTTATGTTTTCCAGTGTTCTTGACACAGCCGGCTATACCCACCCCATCCAGCAAGCAAATATCACACTCATCAACTCGTGCCAGCAATTCGCTTTTGCCATCTTTGGTGCCCTTCTAGTCGACAGAGTCGGTCGCCGCCCTCTCTTGCTCTTTTCCTTCACCGCCTGCACATTTGTCTGGCTTGGCATGACCGTTGCCTCCGGTATCCTCTCCAAGTCCCAGATTGGTGAGACCGATAGTGGCAGCCCCATCTTTGACAACCCAGCCGCCTCCCAAGCGTGCTTGGCCATGATTTTCATATTCGGCTCCGTTTTCTCCGTCGGTATCACGCCCCTACAGGCCCTCTACCCCGTTGAGGTCCTCTCTTTCGAGATGCGTGCTAAGGGTATGGCCTTTTCCAACTTGGCTGTCAACGCCGCCGGTCTCCTGAACCAGTTCGCCTGGCCCGTCTCTATGGAGAAGCTTGCCTGGAAAACTTACATCATCTTCACCATCTGGGATGCCATTCAGACTGCTGTTATCTTCTTCTTCATTCCAGAGACCAAGGGCCGCACTGTGAGTTCTCTTGCATATCCTTCAATATTTTTCCAGTCGCATACTAATGATTACGACAAAAGCTCGAGGAGCTTGATCACATCTTTGCGGATCCCAATCCCGTTAAGGCTTCCATCCGGAAGAAGGCTGTGGCTGTGGACCGCTACGGCGATGTTGTCAACGTCCAAGACGTCTAAGCGTCTAGCAAATCCTTTTAAGCGAGTAAAATTCCCAGAGGTCGAGTGAGTTGGGTCTGCTTGTACCGTGACAGTGACTACACATTTGATGTCAGGTGGACTTATACATCATGAGAACGTGCAGCCTACTTTTGCATGGATGACAAGCAGGATGTGAGAGCACTCTGCCATGCAGCCACAGTTAACTTTTTATTTATTTATCGATCACCTCAAAGGCGATACCAATATACCACCCTTTGTTTAGAGCTACAATAATATGAATGCTGTCCGTTTTCTCTCAATCCACTCAGGTGGTCTTGCTCAATTCACTTGCAAGTATAGCGTATCCGTAAAATGACTCGAAGATTTTTATACCAAACTAACGACTAGCTTCGGGTCAAGTCGACAATAATTGTAACACGTACCATTGTCTACGCTACTGGAGTGGTCTTGGCTAGCACACTTGTTCTAGGCCCAACACCTTATGGTTCTTCCATGATGTCTCTTTTAATTTTCTAGTAGGCTAAAATGTAGTAGTATATCTGTCTTGCCTGTCTAGCTAGCTCTAGCTGCTTTATGTTTACTCTTCAGTGGATGTGAATAAGTAAAAATAGTAGCTGTGAAACTTCCAGCGGAGGATAATAGCGATGAATAAACCCCTAATGTTAGAAATAAACTCCTTGCTTCTGCGCGTACCACTTGTCTAAAAGACAGAATAGGTGTAATGAATCGACAACTTGAGATGAAATTTGGTAGATTGGATTCTACGAGCCTTGTGTACCAACTCCAGTGTCACAAAACAAACATCCTTTCCTTAACCTTCTTTGCGCCTCGGATATCACGTAATCGGAATTTAGCCACACATAAGTCTTACTTGATGAATCATTTTACAAATTTGAAGCGTTGGTAAATGGGAATACAGTAGAGTGGCTAGAACCTTGCGACTGTAGGCAGTGCCTTGCCTCGCAAAGTTATACCTGTTGCGATTCAACGCTTAGATTTGCATATATAATTAGAGCCTTTTGAGGGGATCGGGTTATGCCGTTGTCCGGCCCCAGCACAAAATGTACGGGCATCTCTTTCCCAGTCCATCCCAACTTTATTCTGCGACAAGTCTGATCATAAGTTGCACCAAGACTGTCTTCTTTCATGTTTGGGACAGTACTGTATGTCCGATCCCACCCGGAATATCGTCATAGCGAAGGTCCATCAGATCGTGCACCAAGCTCACTACCGGCGGCGTTTGGAAAAAAAGCAGTGGCATAGAGCCTGAGGTGTGAAAGTTGCGGATACTGATCAACATGCAGCTTGCTTTTTCATAATTTATGACGTCCAAAAAGACGGGGGCACAGGCTTGGCTTACTCCATCCTGGATACAACGTTGTGCTTTTCGGGAAGGTCAATTATCAAATGTATGTGCTCCAAATATGGCGGTATCGAATTAGAGGCTGCTTTACACTAGATAAGGTAGGTAGCAGCCGTTACGGAAAGACACAACCGGACTTTCCGGCCTCGTACGACGCTGTGGTATTGATCGATGGCCTGCGCTATCTACGAAATCTTTCAAATACCGCCACAGCCATGACTTGAGCATTCACTGCATGTCGACCCCTTCAGCTTGTGTTCCCAGGTTAACTCGAAAATTGAATCCGGGATTCTCTGTTTGCAATGGCTCGGTCTTGGCTGATTGCTAGTCTTCTTGCCTTGGCACGGCTATCGGCCGCCCTCGGACCGCAACTCGGCTTGCCTGAAATGTGGAAGGAGTTCGGTCGCCAATCTGAGCTTGAAGCTGTCGTCAAAACAGCGTCAACATCAGCAGCCTTCCGATTGTTGGCAAACAACTCTGCGCCGGGCGCACCAGATCCCGCCATTCTCTACCAGGCATACAATTTCTCTGTTCCTATTGACCACTTCCATAACGATTCCATCTACGAACCACACTCGAACGGAACGTTCCCCCTCCGCTACTGGTACGATGATCGGTTCTATAAGCCCGGCGGTCCTGTTATAGCCCTTGCAGCGGGCGAAACCAGTGGTGATGATCGCTTGCCCTTTTTACAAAAGGGAATAGTGGCCATCTTGGCTGAAGCGACCAACGGAGTCGGCGTCATCTTAGAGCACCGATACTACGGCAACAGCTACCCCACACCGGACTTCAGTACAAGGAACCTACGATTCCTGACCACCGACCAGGCATTGGCTGATACTGCTTACTTTGCACAGCATGTCATATTCCCTGGTAAACTTGCTGCGCTCAAGTTGACGGCTCCCGGGACACCCTGGATCATGTACGGCGGCTCGTACGCTGGCGCGTTCGTCGCGTTCCTCCGCAAGGTCTACCCTGACGTATTTTGGGGTGCTATCTCATCCTCCGGTGTGACTGCCGCTGTCGTTGACTTTTGGGAGTATTATGAAGCCGCGAGGCTCTATGCTCCCGAGGGTTGCGCGGAAACTACGCAGAAGTTGACCCATGTTGTTGACAACATTCTGCTGCAGAAAGGCAAGACCACGGAAGACGACGTAAGAACCCTAAAGACTGCCTTTGGCCTCCAAAACGTCACCAAAAAGGTGGACTTTGCAAGCACCATACGAGGAGGCATTGCAGGCCTGCAAAGCCGTAACTGGGATCCGGCGCTTGACAATCGTGCTTTCTTACGCTACTGTGGTAACATGACATCCGACAAAGTTATCTGGCCTGCGACGGAGAAATTAGACCCTACACTCCGCTACTTACTGGAAGTTGGCGGCTACAAGACCGAGATAGAGGAGTTGATTCCGCGCTTCAAGAACTACATCGGCTACGTCAACCTCACTAGAGTATCTACTTGCAGAAAAACTCAGGATGAATGCTTCGGGTCCGGAAACGATGAAGACTACGTCGGCGATGATCTCAATGCATCTTGGCGTCTTTGGCCTTATCAGTATTGCTCGCAGTAAGAGATACCATGAACTAAGTGGCACTGCGAAACCTAACGTTTATTCCAGATGGGGCTATCTCCAAACAGGATCAGGGGTGCCAGACAACCAATTAGGAGTGATCTCGCGATTGATAGACATCGATTTCACCACCGAAATCTGTCGTCGGGCATTTAACATCACCGCGCCGCCGGATGTCGGCGTCATAAACAAGTACGGTGGTCACAACTTTAGCTACCCGCGCGTTGCCATCATCGATGGAGAGGCAGATCCATGGCGTGCCGCAACTCCCAACAAGATCGGACTACCAAGGCCGGAGTCAACCATCAAGGAGCCCAACCTTGTCATTGCAGGCGGGGTTCATCACTGGGATGAAAACGGCCTTTTCAAAAATGAAACAACTGCTGAGCTACCGCCACTGCCAGTGAAGAAGGCTCAGGATTTTGAGGTGGAATTCGTGCGAGCCTGGCTGAAGGAGTGGGAGGAAACGCACAAGTGAGATTCGTTGATCACATAAGATTTCCTGGTACAAATGCCAGCCCGCGGGGCTAAGTACATAGACGCTTTGGACCAACGGTTCGCCATTAGACATATAAATCACTACTGCTCTCGAATCACTCACATTTTATTATCATCATACAATCATGAGACGAGACTGCGTTCACGACGGAAGACCTGATGAGTAATTACTTTGTACTGAATTTTGAGTGGAAATTAGGGTGGCTCTAACGGAGTGTTTATTGATTCGAAAACCCATAAAGCTGATCCGGAACTTCCCTTCACACTGGGCATCGTCAAGTTTTCCAGCAAGGGCCTTGGAGAAAATAGGGGGAGTATGGAGAGCTGCCACACGACTCTCCGTGCTCTTATTGACACAGCATGCCAAGCTCTAGATACCTTTCATCGGGGGTGCCTTCAAAGTTTTTGGCTATGTCAGCTCCGGGCCTTACAACAACGGAAGTAGATTATTTACTTCAACAAATCATAGCCCATCTACAGAGCCTGTACATGAAGTGCGAGAAACATAGCATCCCTTTTCCGAGTTACAGAGAATCATTCAAGGTCATTCCGCAGGCGTATGGCAAGGGTAGTGCCGATGCTGCATCCGAGGCTTTTTGCTCATTGACTGCAGTCTCGCGATCGGCCCAGGCAATCTAGTGTTTATCGAGGAAAGCCTTGAAGTGAGGGTTCAGGGAGTAACGAAGTTATTGATGTCATTTAACCTCACAATACTGGGATATGATGTTGACAACTAAATTCATCATGGCTGGCGGGACATATTGATCTACGCCGTATTGGCTTTATAATCTCAGAAGATCGTCCATAAATGAGTCCCACGGACGGGAGAGGACGGGTTGATAATACTCAGGCGCAGGAATGTGTGTTAATGAAGTAAAAAAGTGGCTTACTTTATAGATTGGGGCTCGTATGGCAAGACGGTTGGAGCGGCGTTGGCCTTATCTTGCATGGCGTTCTTCTTGAGGGTATGATGATAGAGATCCATGAAGTACGCAGATTATGGAGGTACAGCGCTATCCATGTTAGACTACCTGTTCGCTTTGTACAACCTAAATCAGTATCGTGCGTCACTGTGTCAAACCTTGACGGGGAAACGGAGTTAACGTGCATGTGAATGGCCGAACTGCGAAACCTCAGTCCTGTCGTCCAGCTTCACTGTCAAAGCGCCCCTATATCCGATGAATGTAGAGTTACAGTGACACTAACAATTAACAGTCTTTTGACACACCGCAGAGGTTTGATCACAGGTAAAATCTCAAGTGCCAAGTGGTCGGACGTCCGACTTCGATGCTTGCCCAGCCGGCCACGGCGGAGGAAATGAATTTGTGTTCGACAGGGTCGGCGTAATAGATACCTTGAGGCTACCAGATAGGAACGTATTCGTGAAATACTACTGGATGTCTCGAAACTGTGGCTGCTTATGTTCAAGTATGCTTCGGAGACCGAATGAAACCTGTGAAACGAACTCGGCCTTGTGGCGCGACAAACTCGGCCTTCAATCAGGTGCTGCAAGAAAGATTCAAATAGCGTGGGCTTCCCCGCATAGACCTCAGAGGCCTCACAAAACCTTTAGACAGTGATTCACCTCTTCGAATATTCATCAAAATGGCCTTGAAAACTTCTCCAATCGCTTGCCGGCCCTCGGAACTCGCCCACTTTGTCCTTCGGACCAAGAACCCACAGAAGTTGATTGAGTTCTATCAGAACTTTCTCAACGCCAAGATCACTCACTCGAGTGATATCATCACTTTCATGACCTGGGATCACGAACACCACCGCTTCGCGATTTTGACGGACCCTAATGCAGTACCAAAACAGGATAACTCGGTGGGCGTGGACCACTTTGCCCTCACGTTCGACTCCTTGGGGCAGTTGTTGCAGGCGTACAAGACCCGAAAGGAAGCAGGCATCGAGCCCGCATACTGTGTCCATCATGGCATGTCCACGAGCATGTACTACAGGGACCCTGATGGCAACAAGATCGAAAACCAGGTCGACGCTTTCGAGACAAAGGAGGAGGCTGTTCAGTACATGGCGAGTGCGGAGTTTGCTGAAGACCCTCGTGGACCGCCGTTCGATCCGGAGGAACTCTTGAGAAGGTTTGAAGCCGGCGAAGATGAAAAGATTTTGATGAAACGAAATTGTTAGGTTCCGATACCCATGAAGACTAAGTAAGGTTGTTGTTCACGGTCACTGTCAAAATAATAACCTCTCGTTGGACGTGGAATGGGCAGCAATTTAAGGTTATATGTCTTATTAATCAAAATCTGCGTGCGAGTGAGTGAACCCTTTGCGGCGCAAAGCTATGAGAGCCTAGAAATGGCCTTAGGAATTAACCATCACACCTCATGCTACTGCCGCAAGGTTCATGACATCACTTTGGTTGGAACAGGGGCTAGTCCAATCTTGACAGCTAAACTGGTAAGCCTTAGCCCCTCGCACAAACATACGATCTTGACTCCATTCATCTGTTGGATCTAACGCAGTTCGATGACCCGGCAAGGGGCTTTCAGGGATCTTCATCACCCATGACTGCTGAGGGCTTTCAAAGTTAAGCACTACCCCTTGAAACATGACATCCATTAGCGTGGATATCATATTCTTCATCCACTCTGATTGGGGTGAACCGTCAAGCTTATTTGAACATGAATATCTCCTAAGCTAAGTAGCGGCAGCAAATGTCTCTATTTATCTACCTAACATTCGAAAATGAAACTTGGACGAGCGTGACGGTCCTTCTCCAAGCAGAACCTCTCTCCAAATATGCACATTACATCTGTTACATGGCGGATTTAGGAATTCCCAAGGTAGCCAGTCGCTGACAGGAAGAAGACAAATGCTGTTCCATTGTCATCTCTATCTTTATGAGCGGTTTATCAGACGGGCACATGATGGATAATCAACTAGTGTTTAGTGAATTCAAGCCTTCATGTGCAAGGTTCACTCACTGTTGTCCAAGTCTGGGAACACAGTGCCAGTTCTGACCTAACTGTGATCATGGGCCATGGCCAAGATAACAAGCCAGAAGCTGACTAGAATTCGTATCTCGTCATTTCTCGAAAGCGCATTCCTTTGGGCCAGAGTGCTAGTGACCTTGATATGGGCGTCAACCCAAAACAAGGTAACAATGACACGAGCAGAAAACCAAACATCTGCGTTTGACTCCAAGGGCATTTCCGGGACCGCAACAGGAGTGATACCGTCAAGTTTGTTGAGCTTTGGTCCATGTGAGGACATTGTGTGGAATATTATGGATGCAGGGCAGCAGAGTAGGCGAAACAGCATACTGCAAATTCAGAATGTTGGGAATCTAGCAATGGTCGCCGGCTTGGAGGACACTGTGAGCTTACGCAACTGAGAGGCGCCAACGCATCCCAAGTTTCGAATATAGTAAATGATCTACGTCCACCTGAAGCCTTCGCTACGTTCCAATGAGGTGAAAAGACGCATTGTGCAGTACCGAGATATCTGTGTTTTTGGTTCCATATCCAAGTCAAAGATCCAGTAAGATGAACGCGATTTTTTGTTCCACATTTTCTCGACCAAGCTGTGGGGTGAGCTTTACTCATCCCAGAAAGCTCACGATCCACCTCAATCTTAGCAGCCGAGCCAACAAGCCAGTGAACCAGGAATTCCACGTTGCTGGATGCGCGCTTTCGAGTGGGGACTCGCCAAGTTATCCGGTTTCCGCGATGAGCGCTGTTCAAGGCATGTTCGCTCATGAAATTAAGGTAACTGGGGTCTCCTTCTTCAAGCGCCAGATTTAAGGCTGATGAATCCAATCCTGTGGCGTGTTTTACTTAAACCAGGATACTTCGTGTAGTCAGCCTCATCAAGCACGATGAGCAGTCAGGATGCAATCAACCCGACAGACGACTTTTGCTGGGTGGGGGTCGATGGTTACACGCTGATCTCTCTTTACAATAACCCTTAAGCTGCTTCTTACCACGGTACTTTTGTAGTACCTACTGCAGCTTTAGTCAAGTGGGATATTTCCCATTCAGGCTTTTCTTGTTGTCGAGCATGATGAACATTCGTCGCATAACAACCAGCCCAGGAGTTCGTACCAGGCTCTATTCATTATCAGCATGACAGATGAGCAAAGTCCGAAAGCGGTCTGTACTGGTGGGGGTACGTTAGAGCTGGGATCCAAAGCCTGTGTGGCGACCGCAGCGCTGGGAAAATCTGGGTGAATTTCCCTTAGTCCGGTCCTCGTCTAGATTGTCAAGCAGGGAGAGGGCCCAAGGTTGGGGGACAACCGTCAGTTGAGGTTTTCTTGGGAAGTAAGTTAGGGGTCGGACTTTGGCCCTATGCAGTCTTGTCGGGGTTTGAAACAGTGAATATCAAGGGGGTGACGGATCCACCACATCTTCCTGCGTTCTAGTGACGGCACTCGGTCGAGATGTCTGTATCACTAAGCAAATAGTCATGCAGATAATACGAAAACAGACTGCTCACGACATCGTCAGGACCCCGCCAAAGCCAAGGGTGTCCTCCACAGATGGGGTCCTGCCATTCCACTGGCATTGGTATCCCCCGGCCATGGGCCCTGTCAAACAGAGAATGTAATCTTTTCTAAACGGTGGGGATCAGATGAATGCGGGATATCGTGAGGCTCTCACAGAGGGGATACGAACTGCAGTCGATAGGCTTCGAAGCCAAGTCTCGTTGGAGACGTAGATACAAACAATAGACAATATAAAGACTACGCCGGTTCCTGTGAGAAGAAATACCTTTTCCTCATCCACTTTGGTATCACACCTTGGGTTTGTCATTCTTTTCATCATCACATTCATTCATTCGTTACCAACGTTCACTACGGGCCAGCCCTTTGAACCCTCACATTCGTTCTGTTCGAAACTTGCAAACAAGTCCCTCTTTGAATCCAATACATTCTCTCAAGATGAAGTTCTCTGCTGTTGCTCTTTCGGCCATTGCCCCCTTGGCCTCTGCCCACTACTTCTTCGATTCCTTCATCGTCGACGGCGTCGCCACCAAGTCTTTCGAGTACGTCCGCGACAACACTCGCCAGGCCAAGTACAACCCAACCAAGTGGGAGAATGTCCGCGATGACATGACGCCCGACGTGAACGACTTCCGCTGCAACAAGGGTGCCTTCACCTTCGCCGGCAAGACTCGCACTATGGAGGTCAAGGCCGGCTCTAAGGTCGGATTCAAGCTCGGCGTTAGCGCCACTATGCGGCACCCCGGCCCAGCCCTTGCCTACATGTCCAAGGCCCCCACCACCGCTGCGGCCTACGAAGGCGATGTAAGAGATAGTTATTCCTATACCTTAGTGAGCAGTGCTAACTTGTATAATCAACTTAAGGGAGACTGGTTCAAAATCTACGAAGAGAGTGTGTGCAACAAGAATGGCGCCTTCACTTCTGACGCCTGGTGCACCTGGGACAAGAACACCATCGAGTTCACGATTCCCAAGGACACCCCCGACGGAGAGTACCTCCTCCGCGTTGAGCATATCGGTGTCCACGGCGCCCACGTCGGCCAGGCCGAGTTTTACAACTCGTGAGTGCCAATTTTCCAAAGCTCACCTTGACTCAGCGACTTACATCTCCCTCTCTCTACACAGCTGCGCTCAGATCAAGGTCACCGGCGGCGGCAATGGCACCCCCGGCCCCATGATCAGGTTCCCGGGCGGCTACAAGAAGACCGATGCCTCGTTCAACTTCAGCATCTACAACGGCTACAAGGACTACCCCATGCCCGGCCCTGCTGTCTGGACTGGCGGCAACAGTGGCAGCGCCAACGAGACGGCAACCGGGCCGATTCCTGCCACCTCATCTGCCGCCAGCTCTGCCGTCACCTCTGCTGCCGCTGCTGCCACTTCTGCTGCCGTATCTACCGCCACCTCTGCGTCTACCGCTACGCCTACCCCTGTGATTGTCCCCGGGACTGGCAGCAACAACAGCACTGCACAGTCATCCAAGTGCAGCCGCCGCAAGAGAGCCCTTCGCCGGAGCCGCGTCTTCCGCGTCGAGCAGTAAACACTCATCGCACTTCCAGGGTTGTCTCTCCTGAATCGACAACCGGCCAAATCCCCTCTTGTGCGTGGTTGATCCTCCGGCTGGGCCCGCAACGCAGAATTTCTTGTATTGGAAAGCTATAGGCCGGGCCGCTAGGCGCAATGCGCCAAATCAGCTTCGAAAGCTGTTCTTACATTTCTCATTGTATATAATTACAGGAAACTGTATACATTCTAACACGGAAGCCTTTGCTGCATTTGTAGCAGGCCGATGTACAAATCACATCTTCCCATAATTGCATTTCTCGGTGTCTTCTCATGAGCTTGACCTTGTTTGCCAACCTTTGCCCTGTTACATCAGGATACAGGCGGTCTCACATCAAGGGAGCCGCTTCTATTTGTTTACCCAGTTGCATGTGTGCAGGGGCCTAATCTTGGGGGGATTGTATATAGTCGTATGAGGTTTCCTGTTCTAATTCGGCCCGGCTTGAGCAACAGAATATGGACCTTAGCAGCTCCCCGAGCAAACTACAGAAACAAGAAAGCAATAATGGTCTACCTTATATCTGGCTGACACCGGGAGTTGCACCGAAAGTGACGTCAGAAGTTAGCCAAGACTTGGTTGGCGCAGCGCGTTCGCGATCATTTCCTGCCGTCTCATCTCACACTGTCCTTCTGTTTCTGTTTCTCGGTCTATCAGTCAGGGACGGCATACATACGGAACTACGTAGTTGGCTGCTCGGTAGCGCATGCCAAGAGTTGATGACCAGCCTGGGGGAGAGAGAGGATGATGCGCGCGCAAAAGGTCGATGAGGAACTTGTATTAGAATGGTTGATGATGCCTTTCTGCTCCTCCCACATCCCCATCGCTATCAGTCCACCCGTCTATCTTCTCATCCTTCGATTGACCAGGTATCGCCGTGCATTGGCAGAGGCGCATCCCGGCCAGCCTCCAGTCGTTTCGCCCTCTTCCTGTCGCCCGGGCCTCTCATAAACTCCAATATTGGCTATACTCGTGGATCCCCAACTATGAAAAGCTTCAATCCCTTTGCACGTCGCCAAGATGACACATCTACTCTCCCCACCCACCGGCGCCGAAGCAGCGAGGACACAAGGGTCAATGACCGTTGGCATGGCCGCGACTACAGCATGGCCCATCGACCGCCCTTCATGCTGTGGCCGAAGGTGACCTGGCTCGACATTCTCACTATGATCATGTTGTGACCTTATAGGTCCTATATAAGGCGTTAGTTGCTGCTCTACCACTAACAGCGTCGTTTTTAGTATGACAGTTATAAGCCTAGTTCGCTCTGGTGCCAGTATGGTATAGCCCCAGAGTCTAGCGTCTGAGCGTCATAGACCTTGTGGGTTCGATTCCCACGTGTAGCCTGGTCTAGCAGTATTTTAATACCTAGGGTTTGATTCCTATTATAGGCTGGTAGGCCAAAGGGTGTCGCTCCCCCTTGTCAACTCTGACTAAGTATAATGCTCTGCTTAGATTAGGGGTGTTAACTAGATTAAGCATCTCTGCTTAGTCTGGGGGGGTGTGTTGTGACCTTATAGGTCCTATATAAGGCGTTAGTTGCTGCTCTGCCACTAACGGCGTCGTTTTTAGTATGACAGATCATAATGGGAGTTATTGCGCTGGTGGCGAGTGCTGGGCCCTTGATAGGCATCCCATGTTCACCCTATCGACTTGACTAACACCGCTTCTACAGGTCTTCAGAGCCCACCCGCCTGCCCACCGAACATTCCCCATCAGCTTTGAGAACGGCGAGGTTGTACACCCCCAGTTCGCCTATCCTCACATCCCACAGTATATCCCCAGCCATGCAGCGATAGCTCTCGCCACTGGCGTGCCCATCTTGTCCATTCTCCTCTGCCAGATCCGCGTGCGATCTTTTTGGGACATCAACAACGGTATCATGGGCCTGCTCTACTCCGTCCTCGGCTCGACCGTCTTCCAAGTCATGGTCAAGTGGCTCATTGGTGGACTGAGGCCAAACTTTCTTGAGGTCTGCCAACCGGACATCAGCAAGGCCTCCCAGCCAGGCGGCAATGTGACCGGCCTCGACGGCACGGGCTACGGAGGCATCATGTGGACGTCGGACGTTTGCACCAGAGGGATGGACGGGACCCTCTCCAACGCTCTCGAATCCTTCCCCTCGGGCCACACAACTGCCATGTTCTCCGGCATGGTCTTCCTCTACTTGTACCTGAACGCCAAGCTCAAGGTCTTTTCGAACTATCATTCGTCTATGTGGAAGCTCATCCTTACCTACGCTCCCATCCTCGGCGCTACTCTGATAGGCGGTTCGTTGACCGTCGATCAATCTCAGAACTGGTACGATGTTCCGGCCGGTGCCGTCATCGGCACGGTTTTCGCCTTCTCGTCCTACAGGATGGTGTACGCCGCGGTGTGGGACTGGCGTTTCAACCATATCCCCCTGCACCGCAAGATTCCTCTCGAATACGACCTTGATAACTTTGACGGGGCTGTGGCTACTCGGAAGGCCGGGTGGGGCAAGAGACGCGGGGCCAGAAGCACAGTCCCCGGCAAACTGACCGGTAGGACGCGGTACAGCACTAGTAGTCGAGATGGCCGGGGTGCCGGGGTGCCCTGTAAGCCGGTGACATCGCACCTCGCTAGAGGTGACCGTCGTTCATCTATCGACGACATGGTGTAGATCTCTGTCCCCCCCTTTTTTTTTCTTTTTTCTCTGACTTGAAGTTTTTTGGACTTCGAAAACTTCTTGCGTAGATACCCTGCACGACACGAAAGCGAGCGCTGTCTCTTTATATGCTGTCGTGAAGCTGGAATAGCTTCGTGTGGCTAGTGCCAGCAGCGCCGCCACATCTGTGGCGTACCACCCGCACGGACCGTGTAGAAAAGGTATTTCTACCACTTCTCTAGTTCATATGTAGTTTCTTAATAGGACAACTACTTTTCTCTCAAATGACCAGACGCTGCGGTTCATCACATATGCCTAATCCATTGTCTATATCATAATGATTATCATTGAAGAGACATCTTATCTGAGTATGATTTCTGGGTACATGTAGCATTTCTCAACAATTGAACCATCGTCATAATCCGTCACGGAGCTTTTTTGCTTGGAAACCACTCTAAGAATTCCGTACCACTGAGCCTCTTCAAGAAAGAATCAACGGGCCTGTCAAGCCACTCGACGTGGCTTATAGACGATGGCCAGAATCGACTTGGCCTCAAGATAACATGGCCCGCATATGTTGACCCAAGCAAGCGGGTACAGAAAGAGACAGCCCCGCAGACCAATCCCGAACGGAGTGATCGGTTAAAGAGGGAGACGAAAAGTGTAACTACGATGTGCCGAACGGATATCCACCATGCTCGATCTCTCAGATCGATCGCAGGGATCCGTTGTTTTCGATCAGCTCCAAACAAGTGGTCCAGAGAGAGTAACCCGATCGTATCTTGTTTTCTCAGTGCCTGCATAGCTCATGGAAACGAGGACGAGAAATTGCCAGAAAAGCTTCCCGAGAAGGCTAGGACAATATGGGGAGAAAAGACTGGACTACCTGCGCCATTGGCAGATTTGATGTCGCGTTGTATCATACTGCGTTGATTGCCGCCAAAACATTAAACGACGTCGTTTTCGCGACAATATATGATGCGCGACAGCTGTGTTTCTTCTAAATTGATTCGGTGATGCGCGAGGCCACACCTAATGTATCGCATGCTCTGCTGCTCTGTATACTGTCTAAAGTTGACATGGCCAATCAATCCCCAAACTCGTCCCCTTTTCCTGGGGCTACTTGATACGGGCCGATGCACCTCTCAGTGCGCACATCCCGTTTCTACTCTGCCGTATGATAACCGGTGGTCCCTCAATCACGATGAAGATCCAACTCTACGCTGCTCCTCCGACGAACCAGACCCCCCTCTTCACTAAACAGACGCCTCAAAATCCGGGTTCTCCTCCACCAGGTTCTGCAGCGGCAGGAATAGCTTCGGCCCTTGTTCTCCCCCGGGCCCCTTGGCCGCCTCGTTGATGGCCCGAACCTCGCCCCACGTCACCCACGACCAGCCCGCGCACTTTTCGGGCTCCATGTTCTGTACCCGGGGGGGGAGGGGGAAAGTCAGCTTCACGTCGGTTTTTTTTTTCTTTCTTTATCTTCTTGTCGCTTCTTCGCAGATTGGTGTGTTGGTTGGGACTTGGGTTCCTACTCACGATGGGCTCCGCGTCGTCGTCCTCCAATTCGCACCTCACAAAGATGGTGATGTAATGCTTTCCGAGGTCCCCGAAGAAGTCGTTGGTCACGCCCGCGACCTTGGTGCCGCGCACCCGCAGCCCCGTCTCCTCGAGCGTCTCGCGCTCGGCGCAGACGAAGAAGGACTCGCCGAACTCGAGGTGGCCGCCGGGGAGCTGGATGGTCCCTGCGTTTCGTGGTATATAGTGTCAGCTATGTTTTGCTTGGGTTTTTTTTTTCTCTTCCTCCCCCCCCCCCCCCTCTCTCGGCGCATATGTGTATGAATGTTCGTACCTGCGCCGTGGCTGCTCTTGCGCCGGCCCACGATGACTCTGCCGTCCTTGCGCCGGATGATGGCGGCGACGCCAACGCGCGTGTGGGCGAAGGGGTTTGGGGCCTCGCCGGCCTGCTGCATCGTGCTGCCCATAATCGTTCCAAGTAAACCGTGACTTTTCTGTTTCTTTTTGTGCTGTTGTTGTTGTTGCTGCTGCTGCTGCTGCCGCTGGTATGAGATTTAAGTCGCTGCTGCTTGTTGTTCGCTTGACAAGTCGTTCACTGAGAATCAAGGTGAAGTATGAAGTTAGATCTTAATTATAACACGGGCAGTGGGGCGAGGTGAATGATTGCTTAGCGGCAACATCTGCCGTCTTTTATTCCCTCTTTCGCTCTACGCCACATGCGACCGAACCGATGGGAAAATCAGCCTCGGACCCCCCGCCCTCCCGTCAGCCCCAGGCAGAGTCACACAGCCCGCAATGTGACTGTCCATTTGTAAATAAACAACCAAACTTATTCATACATGTTTTCTTCTGCAAGCAAGTGGAACCGGGTATAAAGTGCCGATTGCAAATGTACGACGGATTTCACAAAGGCTCCTCCCATACACCCCGCCCGGTGCTCATCTGACTCAATCTATAAAAACCCACCCCATTCACTCAATTCATCCACCTCCTCCACTTCACATCTCACCGCCCTCCTCCACCCACGCTTGTTCGTGACACTAAGAGCGGTTTCCTTCCCGGTCCCGTCAACAAAAGTCGCAATTGGTCTGGTGGTGTAGTTGGTTATCACGTCAGTCTAACAGCTCGAGGCAACTCGATCTGGGCCCACTGAAGGTCTCCGGTTCAAGTCCGGGCTAGATCAGTACAATTGGGCGATTGGTTTAGTGGTATAATGACCGCTTAGCATGCGGTAGGTCCAGGGTTCGATTCCCTGATCGTCCATCTTTTTGTTTGCACTTGGGGGTGCTGGCGAGATGATTGAAGAACTCCATCATGGCTGCCTGAGTGAACAATGGAATTAATTATATGCAGGTGTAAATACAACGCCAGCAGCTGTGGGACCCGGCACGCCCTGTGTTTGTTGTCCATGTGTAATAAAGATACATTTTTCCCTCATTCATTCGTTACATCTATTTCCTGTGGGTATCATTACATCGCCCTTGCATATCCTATTTGTGAGAGGAGACAATGCAAACCAAACACCCTCTCTCCCTTCCTATGCATGCATGCATGCATGTATCCATCCATCCATATGCACCTTTCATCCGCCACCCCTCTCCCTTCACTACCATGCTCCCTTCGGAGGCATGTTGTCGGGATCCATCTCGAATCCCTTGATGCTCTCCTGCCAGTTTTGCCAATTAAAATCTTCCAGATTGTCCATGTTGACGTCCATCGAGTCGCCCGGCAAGTCGTTGATCGACGTAAAGGGGTCCGACCACAGCCACGGGGGCTGGTTGTCGGCCAGAGACGGCGTGGCCCTCGGTTGCGACGTCGCGGCGATAGCTTGCTGTCTCTGCCTCTGCTCCGCATCTAGGTTTTGCCCCGACGCCGTGGAGCATTGCACGTCTGAGGACATCATGGACTGCGAGTGCGGCGCCTGCGAGGCGGCGGGCGGGAACAGCGTGTTGTTCGGGTCCGCCGCCATCGTTTCCGCCGCCGGATAGAGGTATTCCCAGATGTGGTTGGGGTTGAAGCCACGCGCCATCATGACCGTGTCGATGAACTCGGGCTCCCTCGGCGGGCGCACCGAAGCCGGGATCCGCGCCCGCGGGTTCGGCTGAGGCGCCAGTGCCCCGGACGACGCGTTCTGCCCCGGTTGCATCTGCTCCGGACGGTTGGCCGCCGGCTGCACCGGGCTGTAACTCTCCGTACGCACCAGAGTCCGCCAGCGAGCGCGGATCTGCGCATGCTGCACCTCCATTCCCGGGACGGGGCCAAGCCTTGCCGGTATGGGGTTCATGCGGTCGTCCACGTCGAGCTGGCGGGCGGCCTCGGGGTCCGACCGTAGGCGCAAAATCTCGGCCTCGCGATGCTTCGTCGCCTTGGCGCTGAGCTTCCGCAAGGGGACCCAGACCGCCATGTGATCCGCCATGCGGGATATCTCCGCCGGGTCCCTGTCGAATCGCATCGTGTTGTTGACGGCCTCCCAGCCCCGCTCCGATGTCGCCGACCACGGGCGTCTTCCGGCTTCCATCAGGATGTAGGCGATGGCGTGCCATTGCCGGTATGTCTGGAAGAGCCACCTCCACTGCTTGCAGCGGGGGTCCGTGTTGAGGATGTAATTGTACTCGACGATCTCGATGGCCGATAAGAAGAGCCGGTCGCGGATTTCGTTCGAGAGCTCATGGCCGTTGCCGGGGAACAGCATCGGCTGGTAAATGACGAGGCTCATCTTGGCCATGATGACGCGAGCAATCATGCCGGCCATCCAGAAGAGAGGATCGTCTTGCATGGCACAGTGCTGCAGAAACTTATCCTCGACGCGGTCGTACACTTCGATTAGCATCCGCTCGTGCTCCTCTAGGCTCGACGAGGCATCTCGCGGGCACACGCCGGCCATGGCCGAGCCGGCCGTGTGTAGTCGTCTCGAAAGCGCACAAATTTCATAACGCACCAGCGACACGGCGCAGTCCGTCTTGCCCAGTCGTGATTTTGGCACCTCGGTCATGTCCGGCTCGATATCCGAGTCGTTGACGTTGGAAGGAAGCTCCGTGTCGAAGGAGCGGTCGATGATAGTGAGGTCGCTGCCCAATTCTTCGGCCGATCGCAAATCCAGCGCGCAAATGGCCCACCACAGTCGGCGCCGCATTTCGGTTTCAAAAGGGGGAAGGTCGAAGTTTGTCCCGTCCCGGTGGATTCCAAGCCCTTGCGCGATGCGAATTGCTAGGCCTGTCAGCGTCCAGCAAAACCGAGTGTCGTCTTCCCGCCGGACCAGCGTGAGGAACAGAACAAAGGCTTGCAACACAACCATGTCCGATGTGTTTAGAAAGTTGGCCTTGGCGAGGGCTTGCTCGAGGGCGAAACGAAACTGTGATAGCATTGTCTCCTTCTTTGAACCAAAGTTCTTCTCAACCTGCAGGACTGGTTAGAAGATGAACCGGAGGCAAAGGGAAGGGGGGTTCGCGCTGTATACCTCCTCGTCTTCCATTGACGTGATGGCCGCGTAGTAGATGGAAAACAAAAGGGCCTCGTTCCCCGGAGTCAGCTCATCGATGCTCCGTCGCATGTTGCGGATGAGCTTCTCCATGGTAGGGATGTGCAGTATCTTGAGCAACGGTTCCACGTTCTCCTGGTAAACCTGCCACATGAAGGGTATTTGCGATGGCAGGGGATGCAGCTTGCGCAGGTCAACGTCGGAAGACCGGTAGCCCAGAATGAAGGCGTGATGGTCCGTCGCAGCATCCACGCTCTGTTGGGGGGACTGGTCGGGTGTGTCTTCGATATCGGAGTCGTCTGTATCGTCGCCGAGAACATGCGTTTCTTCCCGCAGCTCGTCGAGCTGCAAAGCCTCTGTGGTTAGCAGCAGGATACAAATACGGGTTGGGCGACCTACTTCGTCATTGAGCTTGGACCAGAATGCGCTGCTCACGTATCTGCTCGACTTGCCCTTGTCGTGCAGGACCAGCCTGCCGAACTCCCTGTTGAGGCCCGTCTGCTTGTCTTGTGGCCGCCTCGGGTCCGAGTCCGTGTCCATCCTGTTTGGCGAGGCTGCCTCCCTCGGCGCAGAGGTGGGAGTGTTGTTGCTCTGCGTGCTGGCTGTCTTGTCGCCGCCGACCTCATTTGTAAAAGTCTCTGGCGAGTTTCCCGTGCTCGAGTTATGCCGGCCGCCGTTGCTCCCCGGGCCGCTCTCGACTTCGATCTGTCCGCTCAGCTCCTCGACGATACCCTCGAGTTTGCGCAAGCGCTTCATCAACTCGACCTCGCGCTCGCTCGAGTTCTTCGGCGGCGCGTTCGGATCCTTTGGCCTCGGCCGACGAGGAGCGCGGCCCGGGGCAGGGAATATGCATTGGATGACGGCGCGACGGCAGTTGCTGCAGGGCATCTGCTTGTCGCAGCGGACTTTTCGCTTCCGGCAGGTGACGCAGCTTCGCGGGTTCAGGGCGGGCTGGCCAGAGGGCGTCATGGCGACGGGTTGATCGGGGGATATCGAGGTGGCGCCATGGCGAGCGAGGGCGGGATATTCGTGGACTGTGGGCGGGGAGTTGGGAGAATGCTGGTGGGGGTTGGCGCTCATGGCGTGGGCGGGTGTCGCGGGGTTCGACATTTGGCTCGGCGAAAATGTTTCCATGGCGTATCTTGAGCAACCTATGGACTTGGTCGTGCGGTTTCTGGCAGTTCAAAGCTGTGTGCTGTGGCTGAGGAGGAGCAGAAAGAGCCACCAGGGTTTGACAGGATGCGAGAAGGAGAAGCTTTCGAGGAACACGAGGGTGAGATGACACGCATTCGCGCGCTCGCACACACATACACACACACACCCTAACCCTTTGGTGCTTAGAGCTCAAGAAAGGATGACAAATGGGGGGCAGTATCCTGCGAACACTCTCTCGCTCTCGGATTCTACCGTTCCAGAGACATGAGTCGGGCCGACGGTCGAGTCGAGTCTATCGCATCTCGGACTTCAAGATCCAACAATTAGAAGGTGTGAAGTCGGAGGAGGGGGGTGGTCGTGTAATTAGGATGGTTAATTGTATCCGAAATTGTCGTTGTCGTTCGTCGTCGTGGGCTTGTTTGTCGGGAATTTGAAGACCGCAGCTTGCACACGGCTCAAAGTGGCTCGAGGTGGGGGGAGCGGAGGGGAATGGGGAACAAGTCAAGTGAAAGGATACGTACTGGGTGCTTAGGTAAGCGATTATCTGCCAGCTGCCAGGTGTCAAATGATAGAAGCCAGCTGTCAGCTGCCGGTAGAAAGTAAACGGCTGTCGCAACCTGCACCAGACACACACACACACTCCCTAGACGCCTACCTATCTGTGCGTGAGAGAAAACAATATTAACGCCAATGCTCCAGACACAAACTTAGTCGGCGGACGGAGGAAGATCCTTTCGTTTCCATTGGTCGACTGTTTCTCATCACACGCTCACCGAGGAACACCGAATCACAAACATGGGAGCCCGGCGAAACACCTCGAGCTCGGAGCTCCTAGGTACAGGTACATCCGTTCACTCGGCATCAAGCCTTGGAGAACCACACTGTGTTTCTTCGAGGAGGGGTTTGAAAGCTTGGCATTCCTGCTCATCGGTATACCTAGTGTATCGGTATCCATAGAGCAGACACATTATAATTAGACTCAGAAGCCCAAAAGACATCCTACATGACTTGTTGCTTAATATTACTGACTTCTGCTCGACACATATCATGTTGTCGACAGTCGGTGTCCCCGATGCTCCCTGAGACGAATGCCGGGCCGCCATCTCAAGGTTTGCAACGGTGGTCGTGTTAGGCTGGTCTCGTTCCGGCGCGTCAAACAAACTCACGAAGCCTAAGCAAGTTATTTCTGGTCTGTCGACTCTACTTTGGCTGTCAACCGAACTATTGGTCTTGGGACTTCGGCGCCTGTCACGATTTCCTGAATCAGCCCTCAGCCGTGTCTGGCTGCCGTCTAACGCCTCATTCAAACATTCTCCTAGGGCGGGGTGGCACGTTTTCGATTTACAGCGCCATAATCAACTGGCATCATGCTTCGCGTTAGCCTTATGGAAGGTCTCTGAAGCATTTTGCGGAGCCGGGAATCACCGCCTGGGAGCCGTTGTCCGACTCTGCGCCTCCTCGCCCCTGGCGCCCAAAACCTGTAACTCGAATCTACCCGGAATCACTCATCGAACTCGATATTTGGGCCGGCTCATTTTCTATAACTTAGATGTGTTCTCGAACCGGCTTGTCTTGAAACGGCGAATTGGAAGATTAAGGAGGTTCCGAGGTTGTGACAAAATGTCCGCTTGTAGCCTGTAATTGAATCACTTTTGACTCTCTCACCGGACAGTCGATGATCCGTCAAAAGTTAGACCTCCCTCTCGTTGACGCCACTGGGACCGGCCAATGGACACAAATGTTTTGGGAACCTATACCAATCTCAAGGGGAAGCTGTCCGGTCGACGATGTCATGCACTCGTTTTCGATACATTAACGACAGACATCTTCCTTGTCATGCCCCTGGACGCTGCGACAAAATTATTTGCGAAGGCCTGAGATGAGGTGGTGGGATCAATGGTTTTGTGCACTTCTTCCCTAGCTTAGCTTTGAGGGAGGCTATTTTGGGGGAAGATGAAACGCGGAAAGCGGTAGCCCAGATAGTTCGGGTTGATTCGTAGGTTTGGTCGCCAACTCCCCCTCGAGTTCTTGCTTCTGCCTAATGGATCTGAATCAGGTTCAGGAAAGTCTCGCAAAGACTAATCGGTCGAAGCTTCATGCGTCTAGACCACATTCTTGCCTATGCCGATTGGTAGCTCTCTCCTTCGCCGCGAAGCACCTTGCTGATCAACAGCTGTTGTGACAACGTATTCCCCGAAGAATTGCATTACCGCCTCCGTGGGATTGTATTCCATTCATTTACAGAACCTGGAACTGGTCAAAGAACAGTAACTGTTGTGTTTAAGGGTTGACCAGGACATAGTCCGGAAACCCCGAGCGAATGGATTATGTCCTAAGACGTAGAAGTGAGAGACCCCAACACTGCCTTTAAGCTCCTGGACTCCGAAGGGGGTATGGTACAACCAAGCGATATCAGGCCGTTATATGCTCCAGCGTCTTCGCGTCGCTTTCCTCCCACGGGTACGTCTCCTCGATGGCGCGAATCAGCTTCTCGTGCTGCGGCGACCTCGGCTTGATGGAGACGTCGAACGGCGCCGGGTGACTGACCACGCCGGCGAGGAACTTGACCTCCGGCTCGACCACCACGCCGTCGCGGACCGGCTTGCTGATGCTATACACGGCAAGGGTCTGAACAACGTTGAGGTAGATGGAGTTCTCGGCGAGGTAGCGCCCGGGGCAGACGCGGCGGCCGAAGCCGAAGACGTACTTTCCGGGGTCCATCTCGGGTTCGCGGCCCTCGCCCGCGAGGAAACGCTCAGGCTTGAACGTCATTGGCTCGGAATACCGTTTGGGGTCGTGGGCGAATTGCCTACAAACTAGGTGGTTAGCCGGACATCGCAGGAGGACTCTCGGTGTGGGAATCACTGACCAGATGTTTGGAAACACCATAGCACCTTTGGGGATGAAGTAGCCCTTGAAAACGTCGTCCTCGGTGCTAGAGTGAGGGAGCCCCATGGGCCCGATAGGATGCCAGCGCATGACTTCCTTGACCAATGCTTGGATGTACGGTAGGTTCTCGCGGTCGTGGATGTTGGGCAACCGGCTCTGTCCCACAACCCTGTCGATCTCTTCTTGGGCCTTCTTCTGGACCTCGGGGTACAGCATCATGGTGAGGAAAAAAGTGGTGATGGAGGCTATAGTCTAGTAACACACCCATTAGCGCCCATCGTTTGTGTCCTCCGTGAGGAAACATCGTACCGTATCGGCACCGCCACCGAATAAGCCCAATGCCGAGAATTTGTTGGTATGGACGGTCTCTGGCGAGGAGTCCGATGCCTGGAGGAGGTGTGAGAGGAACGACCCGTCGTCTTTGCCCTGCGCCATCTGATGCTCGACAAAGGCGTACGGCTTGTCACTGGTTGCGAAGAATAGGGCTTTCCACTCTTTCGCGGTCTGCTGGAATCCAGCACCAGGAACCCATCCTGGTACGTATCGAACTTGTATCAAGTGTCAGACAGTCTCGAAGGATACCGTCGGCGTATTGCTGGGTAGACTTACGGAAAGGGAAGATGTCTACCAAAAAAGTGCCAGGAACGCATCCCCTGATGAGGTTCTTATCCATCTCGTCAACCATCTGCAGCAACGGGTCCTCCTTGAAAGGTTCCGCGGTATACCCATAGGTAATCTTCACAATCAGCGAGCCGGCCTCCCTATTAAGGACGTGTCAGCAATTTATTATCTTGCCATGTCTGCCCGTGGCCACGCCCGGTCAACCAACCTCTTGATGTGCTTCAACAAGTGTTCGGGCTCATCCAGCAGGTGAAGCAGCATATGGCCAACCTCTGCCTCTTGCAGGGTGCTGTACTGCGACGCGGTTGACTTGGACCCGATGACGCGGCTCATGTTCTTGCGGTGGACGCGGAGGTGGTCGCCGTATGACAGCATACCAGTAAGGCTCTCGGCGCCGACCCTAGTGCCCACAACGTTAGAGACCGAGCATCAACAGCTAATATTCATTGCGGCCGGTGATATGCACGCACATCTCGCCGACGAAGACCTGCGATGGCCTCGAGGAGTGCTTGAGTGAACGATTGTCCAAGAGCTCGTAGGCGAGCTCCAGGTCGTTGAGAATGATTATTGTCGTGCCCAACGTGGTGATGGAGCTTATGGGTCCTGCATGTTCCAAGACACGAGAGTCAGTCTTCTGCTACGAAGCGGTCCGCCGCCGGATCTTGAGGGAGTTTTCGAGTGGCGTTGATAGACTGACCGTATACATCCTTGTGCTTCAGCCAGTGAAGAGCCCCGAACTCGTCAAAATTCGGCAAATCGTTCACGTTGCCGACGACAGGCAGGCCTTTGGGGCCGGGAGGCAGTGGTAGGCGGCGTCCCTGTCTCAATCTGTTGAACACCTTCTCGACGAGATAGGAAACGGCGATGAGGCCGGCGAAGCTCATGAACAGAGTTATGATCTCCATTTTCGCGGTTGCCAGGCTGCGGACAGAGACTCAACCAGGAGGAAAGCGAAAGCCATTATCTACTCGACCGAGGTTCGCGTCTCAGGCTTCTATCTTATATACATTTCTGTCCTTCAGCGATACCCGTGCCAAGGACACTACGGTTGCGTGTCAGAGACACGCAGCAGGGCGTGTGCTAAGCGCTAATTTGTAATTGGCAGTATCGTGTACTAGACCTTGCTAAATGCCCCTCCTTCCATATACCGATTCATCGCTAGGCCGTCGATGCGAAGTTCTGGTCGCTTACTGACTTGCATATTATTGTTTCGGCCAGCGAATGCACGTCATACGGGCCTCGGGGAGGCACGCCACCGTCACATCGCCCCAAGATCTGCACCCGTTTAACGAATAGGATGTTCCATGAGCGGCTCGGTGGCGCTTTCGCATCGAAAAATGTACACTATTCTTCTGCGAGGGTTGGGGGCACTGTTGTCGTACAATTCGGCCGAAGGACTTAAGAAGAATAGAACTGGTCCAGTGCTATCTGCATCAACTACTAGGCCTTACCTGATGCGTCGAAAGCTCCGCCGATAAGGCCCCTAGGGTGGGAACCCCTCTTGGCTCCTGCAGATATTCAGAGCTCAAGCTTGTAGTCCAAGGCAAACACAATTGGCACCGGCGTAAATGCTGACCAGCTCTCAAACAGGAGTTGATTTTATATTGGGTGGTCTCAACAGAAACGTGTAACCAAAGTGTTTCGAGGACATGTGTGGACATGAACTTTTACGAATGCATCATGAGCCCAGAATGAGGTGCCAATTAACGTAGCCGTAAGCCTTCCCTATCACTTGTAGTACCCTACATAGGAGGTCCGAACATGCAGACTATAACAAACATGATTATAACTTAAGCTATGGCAGCTTTTCTCTCCGCAGTCTATTGTTGAACCGGTCTTTGCCTCATGCCCACGTTGTAGACGATGGCTTGCTTCGGCGACCCGTGAGGCCCAGGGATCGGCCGCCAAGAGAGATCAGCAAGGGCAGCGGTCACTGCCCGCGGTGCAACACTTTGCTGAGGTGAGAACCCCGGAGCTGAACTGCAAGCATCTCTGCGAGGTGGTAAAACTAAGACGCTGGCAAAAACGAGTTCCTTGCGGGTGAATAACAACATATCGGGCAATCGCCAGCAACGCCCACTTGTTGACAGTAATTCTGACCGGGGAACACACTGCCGCAGCCATATGTGTTACCAATGTAGTCCTACGTGCAACCTCAGAGCACGTCTTGTTTTTCCATTGTTGCAGTTGCATCCATCAGGACCGCAGCGGCGGTCACTCTCGACGCAGCAAAGCAGAAAGGGCCAGGTATTAGAAATCTGTTTTGTTATAACATAGGCTGTAATTACACAGTGGCAATTATAGATCCGCTTTTGTCATCACATGTTTTGATAGACAAGAATTTGGTAATATAGGAGGTAATTATGAAGGTGAAAATAAAGACTCTAAGTTGTTCTGTTGTTGGCAAGCGCAAAATCAGGAGCTGAGAAGGCGGAATTGAAGACCTCTTAGCCGTTGGACGATTATTGCTTGACCTTACAAGCTTCACTAATACTGGCAGTTTGAATTCTCATTCCTTTAACTATGAGTTATCGGTATACGTAACTTAGAGACTGAAATATACTACAGCTTATTCCCTAGAGGAACTGATACCCCCCGGTGATCGCATAAGACAGGACTAGATGAGCAACTATAGGCCTTCCAGAGGGCCTAACAATTCGGAATCAGCCTCAAACGACGTTGGATCAGCATCTTGAATCACTCATAGGAATGTCCAAGCCAGTCCGAGACTCCACTGCGGGCGCTATGGCACATGGGTTAAGGCTGCAGGCATAAGCCTCGACAAGATAAGACTAGACCCGAGTTTAAATTAGTCGCCAGGATGGAGGCTGAGCACAAGTTGCCGCATCCACGATATACCCTGGGGCGAATGAGCAACGATGGCAGATATTCACGTTGCGCCAATCAACATACATCAAAGGTATCGAAGCTGAACCGACTTGTGATCTGTTCAGTATTGACTTAATGATGGTACATAATTGCGTTGACTCATGTCGGTCGTGACGCGCGCACGCGCCGTTTGTCATTTCATCGCCTGCTCTGCTTGCCGCCCCTAATGTCATTAGCAAGCGTCCACAGATTCGCGCAGACAAACAACAGACACTGCCGGCCACTTACAATATGGATAATTCGATGTCGCCTTTGATCTTTGCTTTGAGGTCAATGTCGACGTCCAGATCCATGTCGAGGCGCACTGAAGGCGCGCCGCCCTTGCTTTTGTTGTCCACTTGTCGGTTCTGCGGCGCGACCTGGTGCTCGTTCTGCGGCTGATGCGACCGCTCGGAGCCGTTCCGGTATTCGGCCCGAGCCACCGCAGTCTGTTTCGACCTCCGCGCTGCGTGCTTGTCCGGGTCCCGTTGCGCGACATCCAGCCCCGAGGCCGGTGCGTCCAGGTTCAACGGCGGCGTTTCCTTCGCAATCTTCTCTTCCGTCCCGGTCTTGGGCCTCGGCTGTCGTCTCTGGCTCTGCTGGTCGCCTTCGTGGTCGCGCATCTGGTTGCTGTGTTCGGGTTCACTGTGGGGCTCGCTCCGAGTAAGTGTCGGTTGCGCCGTGCTCTCGGTTGCTTGTGCCGCCATGCCGGTTGCTGGTTTTTTGGATGCTTCAGATCCGCGTGCGTGTCGCGTCGTCTGACAGTGTTGATGCGTCGGCGAGTAGCGTGATGGTGCTTGTGTCGTGAATGGCGTGTGACGAGGCTTACGTTTATCGATAGGATGCGCAGGAATGTAGTGTCGGGTGGTGGGGTTGCCGCACAAACACTCGTTGAGTTGAAATACCTCGAGCCATTACCTACACCTGGACTTTGTAGAACAGGCCTGCATGACGTAGCCTTGGCGAGCCTTGCCAAAGTCAAACGGCGTGGGGAAAGGAGTCATGTATTGGTCGAGTGATGGTCATGTCGGGATGACATCACCACCCCTCTGAAACGGCTCTGGGCCTCTCATCTTGCGACTTGAGCCAGCTTTAGCACAAATTGGTTAGAATTCACGCACAATACAATGCTTCTTAGTCTACACCGTGGAACTAATTGCCATCATTACCCTCTGGCATGACGAAGAGTTGGACTGTTA